CAACCACACACAGCTTGACTTGGCAGCACACGCAGCATCACCAACCAAAAATAAGTAGTTGCCAGAATCATCGTTATTCTGCGCAATACTCGCACGCTGCGGTCGTTGTCGTTCGGCATTCTCGCGAGTATGCGTGGGACACTTGGCAATCCAATGTCCATGTTCCACACAGTAGTAACTAGGACCATTCGTTTTTACTGGCGCTTGTCGCCTTTGCGTCTTCCAATGTCTGTTGAAACAAACGCTTGACCTTGTCCGTGCGCGAATCACTCGATACCGCCACCTTGTTTCATACGCTTCATATCCTCGTGTAGAAGCCGAGACGTCACTAGCTCCCACGACAGCGAGTCCAGTCTTGACTCCAGCGCCGTGATAAGAAACGAGTAAGACCCACTGAGACTGCCAAGAAGCGTGATCACCAAGTCACTGCTGTGAACTCTATTACAATATTCTCGTATTTCATTTTATTTGTGTTATTTTTAAATAAAAAGATATTGAAATATCCTTTACAAGCATGAAAACTCGTCGTGCGTGGCATTATGTCACATTAGATGCGACTGGCACGCTTATCCGTCTAGCAGAATCTCCAGGACAAACTTATCTTCGCTTTTGGGAGGCAGCATCAGATCAGTCATTCTCTTCGTCGCGCCGCGCCGCACTAGCCGCCGCACTTACGTCACAATTTCCAGCCGAGTTTAGCTTCCAATCACGCCTCCGTCCGAACTTTGGATCAAACGGTGTAGCGACGTCTGCTTTCTCATGGTGGCGTGAACTTGTACTAAATTTAATGAAACGCGTTGGAGTGGCTGACTGCATTAAAGTTAATGCAGAGCAAAGTGAGCGATTTACCAACCAACTTTATGCTCATTTTGCCCGTCCAGAGGCCTGGAAGGTGTTTGACGACGTGCGTCCAACGCTCGAGAAACTGCAGACATCCGGTGTATCTATTGGTGTCATTTCAAATTTTGACGAAAGACTGGAGCCACTTCTAATCGAACTTGGACTACGAAGTTTTTTTAACGTTGTCACAACGTCTTTTGGCCAACCCCAAATGAAACCACACGCATCAATTTTCTATTCGACATTCCAGAAGCTACAACATGAAGATGGAGATGTGAAAACAAGCAAATTTTTGCATGTGGGCGATCACTTGATCAAAGATTACGAGGCTGCAAAGGCTGTAGGCGCAAATGCCTTGTTAATATGTAGAAGTTGTCAGGAAGCAAAGCCACTTGAAATGTTGGATCGAATTGAAACGCTGCAGCAAATTTTACTTTAGATGGAAACAAACGTGGCGCTGGAAGTATAAGCATATGAGAAACCGTGTTCCTAGGGCAGTCAGATGTAGATAGAAAGTCGTCGAAATAACCTCCACCTGTTTTGTGATTCGAAATGTCGCTCTAGACAAGGTAAAGAGATGAAGTAAAGCGAAGTGGATGACTAACAGCAAGCGGCAAACAAGCTTATCGAGTATTTGAAGGGACTTGTGTCGGCCATGGCCCGTAAACTTGCTATTCGTGATGAGGTGTACTTCTATCTCGCAAATACACGACGCTCCACTGACAAAACTGCTAGAAGTGGGACCATTGCTCCGGGTCGTGCATCTTTACTTTGCAGATTATTCGATTAAAAGCAGTCAACACGTTTTGTTGCTTACTACAATTGTTGCTAAGTTTGGCTTGCTAGTATTCTTGATGTGCTCTAGGACATTTTATTTCTGCCATAGCACTAACAATGATGCGAGCGCCTCAAAAGCTACAGCTTTTTCTTCTTTGTATCTTTGTATGCGAATTGTAACAATGGGAGAGTACTGGCGGGCTTTGATACTTGCATACGAGTTTACGCTTCATCTGAAATGCTGCAATTCGTGCTCGATATAGAACCCAGATTTCTGCGTGATAGAGATATTTACGGCTAAAGTCATCAGACAGAATGTACATTTGTCAACGATGAAAGACGATTTTGATCTGGCTGAGTAGTATGAGCAGCACTTCGACTCGAAATTGCCTTGCTACTTTCATTTATCAAAGAGCTAGTTGATGGCCTTTCCAAAATCATGGTCGTGAGTTTTTTATACGTGGAACGACCAGCAACCGGACCGACGGCTGTCCCAGTAACTTGTTGAAGACTGTCATGGATCGCAAGATTCATGTTATTCATTGTAGATCGCCCACACTTCGCAATTTCTCTAACGCAGATAGCTTAAGCACGCTTATGGAACTTAACCTGATATCATAATCCAAACGACGGATTTGCTGACGCGAGCTCTCAAGGCTCGTGCTTTTTTTTCGATAGAACTAGTAATGATGTCACCAATCGTGCTTTTGGGTGTCACGATCTTGCTACGAACCCACGAAGCCTTTGTGGCTCTCTTTGCCTACGAAGCACGAGCGTTCAAAACCGCTACGAGATTATTGATCAAGTTGCAAGTCTCCGTTTTGACTCTGTGCCTTCGGTGAAGCCAAACTGCTCGGGAGAGCTGCTTGGAAGTACCGACAAGATCATACTTCAGATTGGGCGCATGCAAGCTGAATTACTTCTTTAAAGTCGCAAGCGTATAATTGTTTGAGCCAGTCTGGCCGATTGAATCTCTGTCAGGTAATTAGCGTTCGACACGATGCCAGCCACAGTCGGCTATGAAGACAAACTTATCGTGAGACTTCGCAGTCGTTCGTCAGGAGAATCTTTGCAGTACTGGACAACACGGCTGATCGCAGCGAGGAGATCTGTTGTAGCCCGTGCTAAGCTGACACCGTATGCTTCCCATTCGCGGCTCAAAATCTGATTGTCGTCCACCGCAATGTCCAGGAAAGCCGAAGTAGAGAACCGGTACGTGCTTAGCACCACTGGCAGTGGCCTTAGGAGATTGCTTACAAACAACGTGTCAATTACAGCCGTTGTACGCTTGGACAATGCCATGTAAATGGTCTTGAGATAACTGAGCACGAGCTCAACCAGGTCGATAAGCTCAAGCATTGGTCGTCTGTCGCTGAATTTGATCGCTTCGCTCATGATTCCGCACAGCTCGATCAACAAAACACAGCTACATGCACCATGAGTAATTTAAAGTCGAAAATTATATCGACATTGCCAGCAACGTACCAGATAGCATTATGGACAGCTTCTTCGCCGGGTACGAGCTTGATCATGCATTCGACTATCCATTCTAGGCACGGATATAGTTCATCAAGCCGGAAGTCAAAGCTGTTTACGTCATCTGCAGCACGAGGTTCATTTTCTTGGATTGTAATCACACTTTCAGTATTCAGGTTGGCGTGGTGAAGAACAGCACGCATAAACTGGATCAAGGGGGCAAAAGTCTCTAGCAATGAAGAAGCATCGCTTTGGATAACAAACGAGAGTGTCTCCCTCATAAAATCGTTCAAGATAAATTTTCGAAGATGCTGGAGACGTTTACAAGTCACTGCAACAGGTTTATCTCGCGAGTGCTCGAAGGATCTCGTGCACCTACAGCTGAATACGCCACACGATAAGTAGAAAGCTTCTCGGCGCACTGCCTGCACGTCAAAATCGTTGGAAGTTTCGTCTTCTGGATAATAGCTGTGAATGCCTAGAGGTCCATCTGGATCTAAACTGTTCACAAGGAGCGTCCTCAAGGGGGAGAATCGCCACCCATTTTCGAAAGTCTGATAGATTTCTGAAGTCTACAGTACATTCATCATCAATCAAAGTTCTTGATGAACGACAAGTGGTTCTAATATGTAGATGCGTTTATCTAGAACGGTGCGTACCTGTGCGAACCAATGCAGTAAACTGGGGTACTTTTGAAGAGCAAAAAACAACTGGACACTGTCAACAAATCTCATAGAAGATGAGCAAAACCCTTTACGAAGGTCATTGTTGATACTCCGCCCTCCTTCTCGCCCCATTCGTCGTCTTTGATCCTCCAATCTCTTGATGGCTTGAGGATGCTCAGCACAATTTACTTGACGAAATAATAATTCCATCGCGCTAAAAAAAAGATTAGTTTCCCCAATTGCCATCTCACCGCAGTAAAACAAAAATGCATCCATGCATTGATACATGAATCGGAACATCGTAGTCAGTCCTGTAAGTCTCTCATCAAATGTTTTGATTGAGTCATCCACTTCGTGGTATGAAAGTCCCTGTACTACATTTACTCCAGCCTGGCGAAGGAATAATTCGGCAAATTTATGCCAGTTGTGATTCCAGTGGTCAATCTCGCAACAGGCTCGCCGAAAATTCAATTTATAGGCCCTGTGTATATGACAGAAGTCCTTTCAAAACAAACGCTCTGTCAAAAAAAACTCAAAGACTTACTCGAGAAATGAAACAAAGATTCCCTTTGAAGGATGCACCATTTTTGTGCGGAATTGATTCATTTCGGGCCAATTGTTCGAGAAAGTAGAAGCATAAGATCTCCAAATGTTGCTAGCGGCTTTACAGAATGCCCGGAAAATATCCAAATGAAGATCGTACAACGTTGCGGAGTCGTCAAGGCTTGCTTTGTCTGCTCTGATAAAGGTGCAAAAATTACATATCGATGCCACCTCACGTAACAGCTTAAGTACATGCGAATTCATTAATTCTACTCCCCACGAATCACTGCGGAGCAGATTGTAAATTATTCCGTCAGTCAGCATTAACCAGTAGTCGGAGTCGTTGACACAACCCTGATTTTGTATCATTGTTTCCTGGGAATTAGTCTTAAGTATACTGGAAGGTATCTCTTCCAATCTGAACAAAAGTGGTTTCTTTTTTAGTGTTGCAGCATCTAGTGTTCCCAACAGCCACGCAATGGCAAGATGTTGTTCTGCTCCAGATTCTCTCAAAAAGACTTTTCTTAGCCAGTCTTTATCAGCGGTATACTTCAGTGCAGCACCTAGCACTCGTGGTGCAAGATTTCTGGATTTTGCAGAAGTGGAAGTCAAGTTATCCCAAAAGAACTGGACGTTGCACGTAGCAATTATCAAGCCAAGCAGATCGAGTGAATAAAGTTCTTCAAACGTAGGAGTGCCATTTGTAGGGTAGTTCAGTACGAGGTGCTGAATGGCCACTCGCAAATTGTTTGTAACCAGTTGTATAGCTTTGGTTCTGCACTCCATAACAGTCCATGTAAAAGTCGATCCAGAGTTGCGTTTCTCAAGCATTACATCCATATCAAGCATCGCCAACGCATCATCAAAACTATCGTCATATGCACCCTGAGATGATGAAAGAGTCAAACATTGCTTTGGCTCATCTGAGGCTATAGGAAGTAATAGCTGAAATATATCCAGCGCAACTTTTAAATCAGCGATCGCAACAAATCTTTGGTGAGTTGCCAAATTCAAGAATGCCTCCATTCCGGTGCCAAATACGTGTTCAAGACTTTTTAACACTGCAAGCCCAAATGCAGACCCACTTCCTATGCCCGATGATGGCATTTGAAGCATCTTAATTATCAGATCGCGCATGTGATACAGAGATGCCATTGCAGCCCCTAAACACTTTACACTGTCAGTGACACACAATGACATTGAATAACGGTCGTACCTCGGCGTTCTTGCTGAAAAGTAGACAAGGTACTCGCTTTCTGGTCAAGTTGCTGCTTTGGTGTTGATGATCCGACGGAGTGGCCCTGCATATTATTCATGGATGACTCAAGTTTGTCATTGAGTGCCCAAAATACTGTAGAAAATTCAGACGAATTTTTTTCTAGAAGCAAGGCGCCAAGCGTGAATAAGGCTTGTGCCACGAGAAGGTCATATTCAGGTTTCTTCGAGGTCCACCGTAGAAATTCCTTGCAATAAAACTCTACCTCTCGCTCCATATATCTGACGTCTTTATCGTGCCGCTTGACCGAAAAGTACTCTTCGTCACCACACTCCGAACATACTTCAACAACTGCAAATACAAGTAGAAGTGCTATTCCCGTTCGCTCCTACAACGCAAAACCAAAAAAAATTTAAGCCGTTATTGTGCACAAAAGGGAACTGTAGTAACAAACGTTTCCGAGTCTCGACTTCATAGACGGTAGCTGCCCTGATACCTTAGATGGTTTGACTGCCACTATCTTTTCTGGAATATCATTCGTATCCCAGCACCATTCTGTTTTTGGCGTTTTAAACGAGTCTTGCGACGTGAAGACTGAATTTGCAGGTTCAGGTACCTGTCTACTGCTCGAATCACCTGGAATCGCACTAAGAACAGCGCGACGGAAGCGACTACGATGAACTCGCTTTTCCAGCTTTAGAAGTTGAATCTGTCACGAAATTTAATCGCTTATTTAGATTTTTTATATACTGATATAGACAAATGACACATCACCCAAATAATTTTGCACAAAGCAGTTGTTGAGTCGCCGTCAGCATCATTCGCCTCAGCAAACGCGGCAAGCCGTGATTTTGAATTTCCGAGCTTTCTACATTGACTGATATACTCTTTAAACAATCGAGGGATTTGGATGACGGCACCTGGTTGGTAAGGCTCATCGTTCCCCCATAGTTGGCGCAAAAGATGTACGACGATATCTAAGAGGCCAACAATGCGTTATCATTGAATAAGCCTACAATCGAAGGGGAACGATTAGCAAACGAACCTTTGGAAGAACGCCAACGCCTTGAAAATGTCATGACTCGCCTTAACACATGCCGTTTGTAAGTTGCTGTTGGTGAAAGAAAATGACAGAACTTTCTTAGTGAAACTAACATATTTAAGTAGCACTAACTCACTGGCGCCTCGACAAAAGTCGATCTGTAAAAAAATTTCATGATTGCGGGGTAGGTTGAAAGGAAGAAAATCAGGATTGTCCGGCTGGAGAAGTTCTTTGACAACGGCCCATTTGGCATCACATCTGCCGTGTTAAAGGTAAAATAATTATGATACCTGTTAGCAAAACAAAACAAAAATGAGTGCAGGGCACTTACACAGCTTCTTCGTGTTTGTCGCTATCAGAGACCGCATAAATTTGGGCTAAAATAGCGACTAACTTCCACGCAGTTTCCAGTGACAGGAGCTGACTTTCAAACATCTCGTCACATGCATCTCTAGTCTTAGCATCTGCAATACTTGGCTCTAAATCACGTAGATATCCGCCACACGATTCACTTTGGACGAAATACTGAGCTAGCCTATCCCAATAACGCTGGCGATAAACAACTTGCAGCAATGTCCATACGTGCTTTTCTTTCGCAATAAGTGAATCATGGTCAGATTTATCGGCTTCAGCAGAACTCATGCTGCAGTCACGAACCAGCATCCATAATGATAATGCTGGCGATGAACCAATAAGCATACCATCAGACCTCTTATCCAAACGGTGGGATGACGGGAGATGAACATGCAAATCAAATAAAAAGAGCACGACGGCCAAAATGATCCTGTTTACTGGCAGTGCTGTAAGGCTCACATTCTCAATTTTTTGCGTGTGCTGTATATGAAGCATTGATTGGAGAGCTACGAGCAAATCAAGACAATACCAATACGTACGCAAGACAGCTGTCAGAAGAGGAGTTGTTGTTGCATCTCTGGATGCCACCTCAAAGAAAAACAAGTACGCTTCACACCCATTGAACATGGCATTACAGTCAGGGAGCTGTCGGACAAGTGCGGTAATTTGTTCCCAAATAATTGGAAGGCAGCTTGGAAGGTTTACATTGAGAAGTTGTTTCGAAGCCTGCAACAATTGAGCTACTAGACTAGCTATCGCCTTGTGATAGGCCTCTTCAAGAGATACTAATGTCAACCATTGGGGTGTAATTGCATACTTCTCTTCATCGCTAATATCCAGGCAACCTTTTGACAGTAATTCCATAAATGCGTTTTCTTGAAACCTGAGATCATTCAACCGTTGTCGAAGGCGAGATGTTTGTCTTTTAACAACGTCTTCAATATTTTCCAGGTCTTTAAAATCACATTCATCAACAGAAGAAAGGTGAGCTAAAATCATTGGGTCGAATACTCGATGACCAAAAGTCCAAAGTACTTCTTGCCCCGTGAATTCATAAGTGTCATTGCCGTTTTCACCATCTGATATGTCATTCATTACGACTTCAAAAATACCCTCCCAATCTACTGCGCTCTTGCTTGGCACGGTGACAGTCTTTGCGGGTTGCAGTCTCTTTTCAAAAGAAGTGTCGTTAAATGAGATGCCAGCTGGGTAAGCAGCAAAAGTAGAGGTAGGGCCGCTGGGTGATGCAGATACAGCAACAAAAGACTCACGTGATCGCCACTGCTTCGGCAGAGCACTAAAGCGCTTATTGCGAAAATGCATTCGCTGCGCTTGAACGAAAGTGCTGTCGTCTCGACTAATCACGCGTGTCGATCGTACGTCCCGGATCGTGCGGACACTGAAATTTTCACCAGATAGGCCGACCGATGAAGTCCACGAGGGTTGATTCTGGATGCCTTTTTTAGCTTGCTGCTGCTTCCTTCGAGCAAGTTTGATCCAAGCCCACCGAGGATCGGACGAAACAACCTTTTTTTGTTTTCCAGAAAGCCTCAAATTAGATGTGAGGCAATTACTTGATTCGTTTTGATGAAAGTAGTCATTCAATGTAGTACTTCGGGCTGTTCTTTGTCTGCAGCTACGACTTTTTGCTTTTAATCTACGTGCTTCGATTTCTGACACCGAGTCACGTTGTTGTTGCTGTTTTTTCGTGGCATTTATACCTTCTTCTTTTCTAATCTTCTCAGTGTCCGTAATTTCATCACCACCGGTCATACCACTTAAATAATTTCCAGTATTGTTATTGTCGATAGAATAGCTGCTGTCTGATGAGTATTCAGCCAAATCTACGTGCTGAAGCGGTTCAAGCGCATTTCGCTGACTCAGCGCATCCTCCAGAGTATCCCTGACAGTGTGTACCCAATGAGAACACTCTTTTAGCTCTTCCCTACAGTCATCGATGTCGCGATCTAATTGCTCAAAGGAAGCTGGCTAAATGCGCGTATACAAAATTCAGAAACCACAAACGAAAAGATTGGTAATCAAAATACATACCAGATTGCCACAGTGGTCTAGCTTTCTAGCGATCATATCCATCGCATCTTCACCAGCATTTACTAAAGTCTTCGTCAAAAAATTTTCTTCCAGATCAACTATCTGAGCTCAAGGTGGATGTTAGACTAGTTTTATGGCCATACTAACTTAAAATCACCAGAATTACCTCACGATATAGAACAAGAAGATCGCTCAAATGCATCTCTGATAACGTTTTTATTTTCTGATCCATCGTTTTCTGCTTTTCATGAAAGGCGGCGATATTGTTCTTCTGCTGAACGAACACCTCATTCAATTGGTTCATCAAGCCGTCTCGAGTAGTCTCAAGCCGAAGGCCTGTTACTCGGATGACATCGTCGGGCAATTCATCAGGATTTCCTTCTGGTTGAATAAACCTGCCATCAGCGTCGTCCTCATTGTGTTCGTATCCTCCAACAAAGCGCCGACGCTTTACATTAATAATCTTTTTTCTCCGGTGTCGGTGTCGATTGTTACGATTGCTTTGTGCATCGCCCCCTGCCACAAGCGAATACACGCTATCGGAGTCCAAGAGGTCAGTTTGGCCTGTATCCGAGCTTGAAAAATCACCTGTATTCCCACTTCGACTGCTATCTTCGTCACTACTGTCCAGAATTCGATATCTCCAACGCTGGGTTTTTCCTGACTGCCTCGCAGGAGATTCTAGTGCGTCGCGGGCGGTTTGTTCGATGTTACGATGTGAAATCATTTGCGAGATTCTGCGGTTTTGTGTTAATACAACGGCGTCATCGTTAGCAGTAGAGCTATCTCCTTTCCCTTCGTCATCGCTTGATGATAAAGCTTCATTTCGTGAGTCAGACATCTCTTCGACCCGAGACGGAACATGTGAAGGCTTTCTTTTTTTACGACGCAAAATATGCATTTGGAGCTGTTCGGGATGTGTCATCAGCTGCTTACGCTTCCTCTCAGCTTCTCTTTGCTTTCGTAGATGTGGCTCATTAATATAATCGTCTGCTGACACAGCTTTTTGTCAACATTCTTGCGACAGCGTAGTAATGATTTGACATACCGTGATAATACTCTCGACTAACTTTTTCACGATTTGACTGCTTCTTTAAAAGCTTCGATGAATGGACATACTCACGCTCGATATGTCTCTCGAAGCCGCCTAGCACATAGCGCACGTCGTAGAAAATCTCCTCTGCTTCTCCTTCCTTCAACGTCTCTCTATAAACATGGGTAACACGACCCGCACCTCCCTGCTTATTGATGCCAGGCCATGTTCGAGATTCCACTTCCACCACCGTGCCCACTTTCAGCACGTCGTCAGCTTGCTCCACGCCTTGCGCTTTCTCTTTCTCCTCATTCTTGTCGTCTTCATGCTCATCATCTATCTCTTCACTTCTATCTTCATTCATCCCGATACATTTTTCTTCCTGAGCATTCTCCTGTCCACCAATTGTCCGCGACTCATTTACAATTATATCATACTGCTTTTGTTCTTGCTCCTTATGTTCATCTGTGGTCTGCTGTTGCTGAGCAGCTGCAGCCGATTCGAGGCGCTGACGCGCCTCCGCTTGTGCTAGTGCATCCAAAAACTCCTGCTCATCTTCATCCGAGTCGGCTACAAAGTTTTCGTCCTCCATGTTCATTCAAGCTTTGCTGGTGGAAAAGGGAATGATGGTCTTTGTAGACATCTTTGTTTCACATAGTGCAATGAATTGTGAAGACTTAAATCAATGTAATATATGTTGAGGTGTTCAATAAAATTATTCTTTACCATAGGGACGACTTTTTGATAGATGCAATCTCAATACGTTGTGGTCATAAAGACGCAACATGTGAAAGTGGCACTTTAATAACCATCAAAATTTTATCCGATTATTTTGGTTAATAGCTGCGAGCGCTTAATCGTTTGCTGAATAGCATCAGCAACCTCTTCTACGAATTGAAGAAAGACTCCGTGTCCACCCGTTTCAAAAAATAAAGAGTGCACGTGCTCGCCTTTTAAATATTCGGTCAGGGTTACGTAATTTTCGGGTGGGATCATAATATCATGCTTGCTTCCGATGATGAGGATTGGAAACTTGGAATTGGCCACCTCTTTTAATCGTTCGTTTGACACCCAGTGTGTTAAACACGCCATGCCTTGAGCGATTACCGCATACAGAGGAGGTAATGCGTTCTTAGAGTGCGGTGTTGCATGGTATTGTGTGAAGACTTCCTGTATTGTAAGCCCGTCACGACCGTCAATAGGCTTACCAAGAATCGAAGCAGGATATAGCAGCTCCATGAGACATTGCGTTGATCCGCCAAGCATCGAGCCCAATAATGGTTTCCACATACTCGGATGTGGCCAATATGCTCCACGGGTCGTGACCAAAAGCGACAGCGAGCACACACGCTTTGGTGCCGAGGCTGCCAGCTCGATGGCAATCATACCGCCCATGCTAGAAACAGAGTGCCACAGGTTAGAGCCACGTCCATCAGCGCTTCCAAACACGTTTATTTATTACCTGATTCCCACGACATGCGCCGATTTCCATCCTACATAGTCCATCAATTCCAGCGTATCCTGGGCCATTTGACTTGTCGTGTAGCGTGTTACCGGGGCATCGCTGCCACCAACACCACGATTGTCGAAAGTAAGAATAGAAAGCTTTTTACCCCCCATCTGAATATTCCACTTGTCTAGCAAAATATCGATGACAGGTGCCCAGCTTTCTTTAGGCATTTTAAACCCACTAACCATGACGACGTGCTCTGGTTGCAGGTCTTCTGAATCGGGTTCGCCCGCGCTGCTTTCTATGAAGTATTCTAGCGTCAGTCCTGATGACAGTTTTGCCCTATGGATGCGGTCATTTATGAAATGCATTGGTACCGAATGCAGCGCCGCAAGATGGCGCTCAGAATGGAAGCCAATCTCGGCAAACGCAGGGAGGTTTTCGCTGTTCATGACCTTTTCTTTGTCTCGCAAGCATCACTTCTCTACAGACCAAATTTGTCAAGGATTATGCTATCAGGTGATTGATTACTAACTCAATTTCGGATAAACATATGACAAGCATTGCTGTATACTTGTCCAATGTTATTGACAACTATTGATTTTTCTCGCTGCTTACCGATCTCATAAAGATCTTGATATAATTGAAAGTACCACTATTTGTCAAATATTGTAATGCAATTGCATCAAGTATTTCGTAGTCTTATGACCGTGCGGCAATGAGGGAAAGATGCGCAGTCACATCCGAATTTAATTTACCCACCTACAACTTTCTTGAATGCCTTTTGAGCCCGAGATAAAGTCCTCTTTAGGCCTCCATACACAGCGTCAAGTGGAGGCATTATTTGCAGCGCCTAAATACTTCGGTGATGGGGTCGCTAAAGAAGCAGTTATCTCCACAGGCATTACAGTCAGCTATGCTATTATCGAGCTACCATCAATGCACCCGTTCGTAGGTGCAGAACAGGTGGTGCTTATCGCCGGCTTTATGCAGCCAAAGGACACGTGGGCGCATTTCATCGACGTATTGTTGACCAAGTGGAATCGGAAGCAGCGCGGAGTGGGTCTTAACATTTTAGTGATGGATAATCGCGGCTTTGGTGGAACAGACGCGCCATTTGGCATGTACTCGACACGCACTATGGCTGAGGATATTCTTGCATTGATGGATCACATTGGTTGGCGTTCAGCGCATATTGTTGGTGGCAGGTGAGTCGGCTCTGGATAGTTTTATTGACGCAATGATGGCTAATGTGGCTTTGCTATAGTTTAGGTGGCATGATCGCACAGGAGTTGGCACTCCTTGATCTTCGACGAGTATGCTCATTGACACTAGTGTCGACGAGTCGTGATAGATATAAGGCCAGTGGCCGATCACTCGGACTTATGGTCCGTAAAACTTTTTCGTTCAAGTCAGTTACTGCCAAGGCGAACAGTATGGTGGATACGCTGTTTCCAAGTGAGTGGGTCGACTCGACGATAATTGTGGAAACAGGTGAAAGTGTACGATCTGCAATTGCACGCATGTACGAGTTGCAGCTAAGGAAATGGCCTGAACCAAGTGTTAGTGGTGTAATGGGTCAGACTGCCGCCGTCCAGACACACTTTGTGTCCGACGAGAGGCTACGCAACGTGAACAACGCCGGCTTTCCTATCCTTATTGTCAGTGCCATGTTGGATGACGTTATCCCAGCTGCTGAATCTATCGCGTTGAAGGAACAGTTGAACGGCGAACACGTACGCACACTATTCTTCGATATTGGTGGCCATGGTGCGATTCACCAGTACGCAGATGATATTGCCAGCGAAATAATTGAAACCATGATGCGAGCGGCACCGCCCTTGTAAACAGATCAGCTATATGTTATACATGTAATTATGTTTGGTCTACTAACAATGTAAATGTTTAAGTTTGTGAAGTAGAGGATGAAGAATTGTTTGGTTATATTTCTACCTTTGTTGACCAAGTTGCGTAACTTGTCTAAAGTCCCACCTATGTGCAACAGCTGTTACGATCGCAATAATTTATACATATAACAGATGGCCGAACCGTTGGTAGGTAGGTATGTATATGTTGACCTTCAACACTAACTTCGCATTACAATTACAAAAAATGTCCCGATATGGAGACGGACGTAAAATCGAGATATATAAAGAACTTGGATTGGTGAAATGTTTGAATGACGTTGCACTGGCAGGGAGGAATGAAGAACAAATCATTATTCTGATTTTTCATTGCTGTCAAGAAACAGCGCTGCCTCTCTGAAAGTGGTAGAGTCACCGTTATCACATTTACAGAGAAATTACTGACGTGCAGGTGCAAATTAACATTTAAAGATGAAGCAGGCCATACTTACTTTTACGAGCGGGATGATATGGCATTGGCGATTGGCACTTTGCGAGCTGTCGCTTCTTGCGCTAACGATTCCTTGCGGATTACAAGTGTAAATGTCAGATTAGGTTGTCTTCGTTTGATAAGAATGTGAATTTTTCGCCCGTGGTTGTTTCGGAGCACAAAATGACCATCTAGAATAAAAATGCTCGCCTGTAGTGAAACGACAAATCATTTAATACTTGATGTCAAAACGGTCATGTCAGGCCATGCGGTCGAGACATTAAGCAACTCTAGCTAGCTCCAACATATCGTCCGTGGTACCCTTCTTTCTTGCCAAGGGCGACGCCATGACCACGCCAGTAAGCTCAAGCTCGTCATCATCCGAGCACACGCTACTGGTAGACTTCTCATCAATGCTCTCAGTGATTATCACGCCTTCATTCGCCAGAAACCCCTCAGTGCTCACCATGTCGCTACTCACCGCATCTTCACTCGAGAGCTGTCTTTGAAAAGCACTCGTGACTTCAGACAGCTCGCTTTGAGCTGATAGTTGCGGTTCGCTGCGGTGCTTCACGAGTTTTTGTTGAAGCGCATTGACCTCATCTTGTTCGCGAACTCGACGCTGTTTCTTGTCTTCAATCGACTCTTGCAACGGCCTAGACGAAAATTTTCCATTTTGAATTTTCTGCTCCATGTTTTGTTGCGAAGGCCTCCTTACTTTTGACTGCTTCTGTGGCAAATAGTCGTTAAAAGCGTCATACGGATCCAACTCTTGCTGACGGCGTTGCTCGATCAATGCTTGGTGTTGATGCGTTGTCCTTGACTGCTGGGACGCCGACCTTAATAGCGACTGTCGATCTGTCGTCGGCCGCTTTTCTCGGGAATATAGAGGGGATGCCCCACTCGAAGTCAAGTCTAGATCTCGCGGCTGGGCATACATACTTTGTGTTATATCGGGGTTCATCGGGCTTTGTGCCCAGCTATTCTTCTGACCCCTTGAACTGGAAACATTCTGCTCCGCAAAGACTTCGACCGCCATAGACTGTCGGATTGAATTCATGTTTGTATCAGCAGACAGGTCGTCACCTTCCAATACAAAGTTGCGCACGACTTCAAAGGCGTACCCTCCACAAGTGGGACACTTGGGCGTCTTTGAAAAGGCCCATGAAGCTAGCAAATTTATGAATGAGCGCAAAGCTTTGACACGATAATTAACGACGGGGGGAGCTCTGGATGCAAAAAGATGCTTCTTGGGAAATGAAAAGCGCTGGATGGAGTGTAAATAATTGTGGCAACCTGGACACTTTTCCGTTGACGACGACAGAAATTTGACCAACTGGTCGCGTAGCTTAAGAAACTCCGAGTATCGATGGCTCACCTCCCACGTTTGACCACTTGAGGTAAAGCGCCCGGCAATACGGTAATACGTCACGCCGTGGTGCGTTGAGGCTGATAGCAGCCAGAGCCGTAATTCACGCCCGTTTGGGTTTTCTTGGTTCAGGACTGACATACTCATGCGCGTACGTGGAAGGCTCTCTCTCATTGTAATAGACTGATCTAGGGGCTCAATTAGGGATACTGCGTGCGCGGTTGAATGCCTAATGAGTGAAGGTCTGAACCTTTTTGCCGAAATGTAATGGGAACCGACTCGACCATTGTCGTACGTGTGGGTGTTGATTGGATAACTATTAGGTAACGAATGACTTCGATTGGAAGAAATATAATCAAAGCAGATAATGTTGGACGCAGCCATTTCTCTGCGCAGCGTACCGCAGCCACAATCCCTTGACTTTTTTCGGGGTCTGCACTCTCCATTCTCGAGAATCTACCGCTATGTCGTCAATTGATTAAGACTATCGTCGAATTTTGCTGTGAAGTGACCAGTGCATGGATGCTACCTACTGAAACGATTAAAATACACATTCGGTACGATAGATGTGTATTTAATGCTTATTAGCTCTTAACAAGTATGGTTACTATAGATTTATTTTTACGCATATTTGCTTTAATAGATGAATACTTGACCCAATATATATTTACTATATATTTATCAGGTAGCTGAACAGTTACATACATGAGTAGATTTTAAGCATGCATAAAGGCGATGCCGCGATGCGAGAGGACTTGACATGTATTGTCCACGCTTAACACAAGTATGCTTCATCTGCTTACTGACGTTTTCTGTCAAGATTTTACCGTCGCTAAATGATTAAATCCTTAATGCGATCGTTTACCGTCATTGCGTGATTCAGGTCAGATAGATATATCGGAGCAGCACATTGGCGGTGCCTTCATTTGTTCAAGCAAATTTAGTCAAACTGAACAAAAATCGTTCCTGTCTTATCTAATAGGCAGCGCCTTCCATAGTTTTCCACGCAGAGGTATTGTCGTGCAAAGAAACTGAAGTAGAAAACAGTTGTCCCTGGATACTTACGTATTTTCCAAGTTCAATAAACAAAATTAAGGGATTTTGCTGGAAGGTGAACGAAGTAGTCGATTAATCAATCTCAAGTTTAAAACGAGACATGAATTGCGCTACAGGTCATTATTTGAACGATACAAAAAATATACAAGCAATGTTACAATCAATTAAAGTTTACAGCATGATATAGTTCCTGTGCACAGTATGAAGTATTGTTATCACGTAATATTGGCTTTTTCATAGTAATGAAGTCGTCGCCATTACGGCCTTCTCATCAAACTTAGCTCAATCTTTGGTGTCAAAAAGGCGATTGGCAGCTGGTACATTGGTCATGTTTTGACAAAAGTAATCATCACAATCTTACGAAAAAACGTGGTGTCAGCAGCGGAGTGCTTATGCTACCGCTTTTACAGAAAAAGATCATGCGAGACAGCATCAGGCAATTTTATGAATATTACTTGACAATCACCACATAATTTCGAACACCAATTGTTACTATCATCAGGCAATAAATTTTTATTTTGGCTGTTCAATAAATGAATGTACCCAGACTGGTAGTTTCCTATGGTGCAATACAAAGAGAGAAAGAAATATATTGTTGAAAGAAATATCCTGAAAACTCAAGAAATGTGGTATCCTAGCGAAATTTTCGTCCACGAATATAGGCGAGCGCCCGACGACCTAGGCGTTTTGTTTTCTGGATTGAAGCAGCACTTGGCGGCGCCTGATGGCGATTATAATCGGCAATAGAATGATGCAAGTTCATGGGATTGCAGGAGAGCTCATCTTCTTCGTCACCCATTCCAAACTGTAAATGGAGAAAAAATGAAAGGCTTCAGCATCATCATCACGAAAATCTCATGCATAAAGTCCTACCCATCCATCATCCGTCGCAGCCAGAGCGTACAGAGAGTAGAGCGCCAGGGTCAGCTGAAACCACTGGACAAGAAGCTCTGACCCAAAGAATACAGCGAGTAAACACTGTCACAATCAAATGTAAATGTAAGCTCAGCCATTTGTGTATAACAAATCGCAAATAAACATACCTGCATCGCTAGTGACAAAAAGAAAATTGGACTGCATAAATTATTAATCTTCAGCGCCGAAATGATGAAAGAGGTCAACAAAAGCTCCGCCCCTGAAAAGAAACATCAATTATCCCGACATTAAACATAAGGTAAACAAAACATACCATTCAAGTCCAAAAGGAAACTGTGATGCGAGATGCCCTCGACCAAGAAGACGAGGGGCAAAATCACTCGAAAGGTTGTAACCATGGCCGTGGACCCATTTGTGCAAAAAAGTTGGACCAAAAAGGCATACCAAAGGCACACTGGCGCCCAAGGAGGTGCCCATGGAAGTACATACTGGACAAGAATGGGAAATCCGTAGAGAAATGAGAAGCAGAATCCGATGTGGCGATGCGTCAAGATCGCGCGGAAAGCAACTCGATGTACTCGAAAAAAGAGCGAAATACCATGGAGTGATCCTGACATAATTCTTCGACAGCTTGACAACAGCATTGACCACACGCAAGAAAACATGGCAGCAAATATACCAGTGAGCGACAGCCGTCCAATAGGCCAATAACTTCGCCACATGCCACTTAAAGCTACCTGTCCAGCAGAAGCTACCGCTGATCCTAGATCGAGCAATACCCTACCAACTACCAAGGTAAATGGAACGTAAAGATCATCTCGAGCTTCCGAACCATGAGCAGCATCGGAAATCTTTGAATTACTCGTCAATCCACGCTTTTCTTTCTTCCGACTCATTTTTTTCTTTTCGGCCTTTTCTTTTTTTGGCTTATCTTTGCGGTTCTCCTTCGGGTCATGTTTTTTGTCAAAACTTTCCGTTCGGGAGTGTTGGTTTAGATCAAGACTATTCGCCTCATTATTTAACGCAACTCGTCTGCTTTCGGACACGATCAGAGGTTTTACTGAGGACGCAGATTCCTCGTCAACAGCTAAATTTGCTTGTTCAGCGTCCAACACGGAGCGATCACTATGGGACAAAACATCATTGGACAACGAAGCTTTCTTATTAGCCTCTCGAAACATCTCAGTGGAAGAATCCACTGAGATTTGCTTGTCTTTTAGTAAATCACTAGACGGTAGTGGTTTGTGATTCATTTCATTACTTGGATCAAGCAAAGATTCTGCATGAGCCGAAAATCTTTCCGTGTCCTCCTCTGAAGAGGAGCTTGCAGCACCGTTGTTTGTCACAGAAGTGTCATTTGTACTACACCATTTCGGGTGCACGTGAATCGCTTCAGCAACATTATCATTTTCAAGATTTGAAGTTGCCAAGCCAGCTTCGATCGGTTGAGAGAGAGAGTTGTTTTTCGCATTATTCAGAAGGTTCTGAGAGCGTTTTTTTCGGGATGTGCTGGACATTTGACTTTCATTGCTCCATTTGTTATTCTGTGACGAACTTTGTGCAAAACGTGGGGACGCAGCAAGTACAGAAACATCTTTAGGCAGCATTTTTTCGTGCGCAGATTCCTTTGTTTGCTTCTCGCGGTAAACCTGGCGGCGAAAAGTTGGCTTTTCGTTCGCTTTAGAAAAACTTCCTACAAGACCACTGCGAGTTTGGAGCTTGACATCATCATGGTTTTCCGTCCAGTGCTCTCGCATATTGATCTTTCCTCGTTTGTCAAATCCTGGCGGAGCAGTCATCATCGAGGTAGTATGTTCACTTTGGTCCAAAAGACCTTTTTTACCGTTGCCACCAGCGTTCAAAGTTGATGAACCAACGTCACTCCACATTCTCTTCGATTGATCAATGTTAAACTTGCTTTCATACACTGAGGATGAGTCGCGGGTAACAGGGAAAGTCGTTTGTCGAGCCATCATGGGAGCCTTATGTGAAGTAGAAAACGATCTGTTTGCATCCATTGTAAATTCTAAAGCTTTTGCTCGCAAATCCGAGCGGCTTTCGATCGCCAATATATCTTCTCGAGCTTTTGTAAGAATGCGACGCGTTGCTAAGGTCGATTTCCCATTCGTTTTACTTGAAGTCATCGGCATTTGGTTCTCCAGTGTTGACGCCAGATCGACGAGCTTTCGAGAATACATAGTAGCATTGTTCGACCGCGTGTTGAGCTCAGACAGATCCGAATTTGATATACCTTGCTTGTCGGCCCGTTTACGTTCCAGGTCATCACGAATCACTCCCATCGAGAGCCTCATTCTAGAAAAAAGACTTGAATCATATTGAACATCGTTATCTTGCGAATATGTTCTACCAGAAGAAGATAGATCACTTCCACCGGACTTCGGGGATGCTGAAAATCGCTGAAAAGATTCAAGCTGGGGGCCCGAAACATGATTTTGCGTCATATCTTGGCTTTTTATACTTTTTTGCGATATTTTGCCTTCCGTTAAGTTGGAATTATGCAGTCCAGGGGGGCTCAGTCCTGGTGGACGCTGCAGAATTCGACGTGGCGGAGCCACACCCAATGATGGCCATGTTTGCATTGAAGAAGATACAAATGACCGCGTTGATTCCCTGGAAGCTATATACGTCGACGTTCCTCGCCCCTGATACAGATGTTGGGGTTTTGGACATTCATAAAGTCTCGACGCTCCATGATCCCCCTCCATCGACAAGTTTGTAGCCACCTCCAGTTTTCGACCAAATATGGATGTAGGAGATCGAATAGCTCCAGCTCTTCCAACAGCAGTTGAGTCATTCAATTCAGAACTAAAAGGTTCCGATGATGTACCAGAATTCGGCGCAGATCTCACGGAAGTTTCTAAGCCCCGAAGAGCTCGTGGTGTATGGATTGTTCCTCCTAGATCTGATAAAAGAGCATTCGAGAGTCTAGAAGAGGACGAAGGGCCACTATCCGAGCCAAAATGCGACAACTGAAGCGTCGGATAAGGCTGATCGTTAAGGCTACTAAAGTCCACGTCGTTCCTCGAGCTTGAGGCTTTAGATGATTGGAGAGCATCCGATGCGCTTAACGATGACGCAGCTGACGATCGGTTAGAGGAAGCAGCGGGGCTGCGGCCTCCAATGGGTCCAAAGCTTGACTTCGTGTGGCTACTTCACATTAAACACGTATGACAAGGTCAATTATCAATATTAAGCGCAAGATAGGGTAGATGGTAGTAATTGTTGGCACTAATGAATGAATCGCACATTTGCTTCGGGGGTGAGTCGTCCGCTATGCCATCAGGCAGGAAATACGCCATGGCTGGCTCGTCGTCCGCGTCCATCACTCTCGTTTAAAAACGTGTCAATCAGCAAACGCCTGATGTTTACACATCAGATTACATAAACATATTATGTACCACACATTGAATAAACACTTTTTTCCAGCCGCAAACTACGTTGTTTATTGTTATTTGAAGATTTCTTAAAATGTGAGCTTTCCACCAGACAATCCTAAAAGAAAAACGAATTGTCCCAGATTTTCGAGAAATGGTTGACTTATCAAGCATGACTGCTAGCTGAAAGCACAGCGTGTAGAAGCAATTACAGCACCAATACGCAGATCTCGAGAACAAGAATGTGGTATGAAGTCACGAGCCATGAAGTTCAGAACTTCGTGTGCGAAGCATATCCGCCTTAGCGATCGCATTCGAAATGCAGAGCTATTCAATTGCCAAATTGGTGGTCATCCAAAGCGTTTGTAGCGAGAAGCGGCGTGGGACTGTGAGATATGGGAAGGCATAAGAAATATGAAGCAACATTCGTGAAAATATTTCTTAGACCTACCAGATGAGATAGCTGGGTTCGTCTTCAACGTCTAAATCTTCATCAAGTGTCATGGAAGACACTTCCAGATCAAGCTGGTCAATTTCAACTAGAGCCAAAAATCATACTAATTATTACAATCAGAAAAGAGGAAACACATTGCTTTATTTATACCTGGAACGACGGGACGAAAGCCTGCGTGCTGGGAGGATGAACGCAATTGGCGTCGAATACGCTCTTGGTCAACCGGAGAGCATTCAGTAAAATTATGCTTCGTGCAATGAGGCTCCGTCTCTTGATCAAGAATGACTTCTGTCCGGCATAGTGGACACGATGTGTGATTCCACAGCCACTTATCCACACAGCAGGCACTAAATAATACAACAAAAGATCTCAGTAAAGTACAGCAGAAATGGGCACTAAAATGTCGCGTGGACGTACTGGAAAAAGTGTTGACAAGGGAGCGTTACGATATGATCGCCGATTCCATAACGAAGCTGACATATTGTGCACTCTTTGCTGGTCTCATTGGCTGTGCCAAGAGCCAACGGGAGCTGATATCGAACCTCAATGGGCAGGCCTCTATATTGCGAAAGCATAAAAGTCAGTAACCCTGGTCAAGGCATGCCATCAGCTGTACGCACTTTTCTTCGACCATAGGACTCAAGCATTGAAATTCTGGACTGCTGCTGCTGAGATCGTAATCACCAACTAAAATCTGACGGTACATTTCTTCTTTGGCCAATTTACTATTGCAGTCCCGATCTGGTTTCTCGGCACTAAATTTCAGATACCGCAAGGAAGCGTAAATAGCTATAACATTCAAGAACTCGGTTATAAACGCACCTGAATGAATGATTCATCGAGGACAATTGACTAAGCTCATCATCGCTGCTACTACTGCAACAATGTCCCCGCAAACATATTTTCAGCTAAAAAACGCATGAATGCTTCAGATAAGCTCGATCTTACCTTGACCTAGGACTCATACTTTCGTGATCTTTGCGCTTGGAAATAGCATCGCAATGCCATCCGTACGATTTGCTTTCCATTGTGTCTTCATCGTCAATAAAGCGCTTTCGAGCATTGCCTGGTCCTAACTGACGATTTCGAATGCAATCTTGAAACATAGCTCGGGCACAATTCACAAGCGGATCCACAGTCGGAAACGACAACGAATTAAAAGAGGATGTTGTCGACGCCGTCGACGCAGCTGAAGGTGACGATGGTGGAAAAGTTAATTTCATGGACTTTGGAAAATCCTCTTCAAAGTCGAGCATTGGTCCTTTCACCATGGAAGGATCAGTCCTTAAATATTTAATTTTCGGACTAGAGCTTCGCTTTGGCTTTGACTGTGGCGCTGAAATGGCAAACACGCTCAAATTTGCATCGGGCGCTCTCATTTCCGTATCTTCATTCACATGCGGCAATATATGAGGAGTTCTTGTAGCAATTACACGCGTAGCTCGCGAGCTAGAAATCATAGAGGACGCACTCTTTGCATTGCGTCGGTCTTTTCGATTCCCTGATCGTTTATTCTTTCCCATTGTGCCAAAAGTCTCATTTAAAGCCGCACGTTTGTCTTCTCGAGTCCAAAACGTAAAAGTTGACGATGAGGGCGATGAAGAAGAAACTTCCAATGCTTTTTTCTTGCTGATTGTATCTCGGGATCCACGACTAAAAAGCGACGATGTCGTTGCTTTCTTTTTCGAAGATCCAATGGACGCTCGAGAGCTTCGAACGGACGAGGTAGCGGAAAAGAAGTGAGAAGATGAAGTGCTCCATGGGTCAAGAGACGTCGACCACGCTATGGAAGATTGAGACTTGACATTGTCGTCTTTAGGCGTGCGAGTGGTGCGCTTTTGTCGGCGCGGTCCGCTCGATGGGGACACTGAGGCTGCTGGCTTACTATAACTGCTGCTATACAGGATCGTATTTGATTCGTCAACCGAATCAAAATGACTACTGGACGCCGTTAAGCCGCTCTTGCCATGACTCCAGCGCCACCACGAACCCTCCTTTAACTTAGACACGGACGTTCGCGAGCCATCAGTGGCCTTGGACTCCATGCGCGTTTAAAAACTTGACCTATGGATATTCAAAATAATGAAGTGTTCGTCACTTAACTTCACTCTTTCTAAGGAAAAATCTCAAATGAACCGCACCCAGTCGATACGTGTAGAACAATAGGATTATCTTGGTCTAGTAGCGTATTCAGCTCTTCATTAGCATTTAAATACACCCAATTACAAAAAAGGCGAAAAAAAACACGCATGTAGTACGCCTTGAGGGCATATACGCACATGGCAGGTCACGCTTACGCGCAATTTGGCATTGAGAAGTACGAGATGGGAATATGAATAGAGAGGATCAGACGTGAAGATTGCGGTGCGTCGGTGGAGGGCTTTAGTTAGCTCCCGGCAATCGGGTATTTTTACGGAAGCCCCTTGTAAACTGCAGGGGCGGGGGGTTAGCCAACGCTTACTGATCCAGTCGGTACGGGTTTGGTACATGCAGGAGCAAGACCAGCAAGTTGTGTACCGTAAAGCCTTTACCTCACTTTGAAACTGTACTATCACACAGTATACTGCAGTTTTCTAGCACCCATAAAACAACAGTACCGGTAAATGCTAAATTTTCGTTTCAATGATTTGAAAAAAAGTTTGCTGTAGCGAATGTTGATCAACGTCGCGTCGCACACAGCTATAGGCTATCACCATCAACACTGGAATCCACCTAGACACTGTCAAAGAGGTTATGTGTATCCTTCGACATCAACATGAAAAGTTTATGGAAATAGCGATTTTTTAAATCAGTTATGGGGATATCAACAAGCAATTTGTATGTACCACAAACAATTTAATTTTTTTTTAAAGCTTAAGCTAATCGAAAATGCGTACCTCATCGCAAAAAAATTCTTTCGTGAAAAATATTTTTCTTACCACAAAATTTTGAAGCCGAAAAATAGTATACAGTCGCTCTGTTTCCTGTTAAAGACCAATGGAAACTTTTTCAAGACTGACAAGATCAGAAAATCGTGTCTACGTCATGCCTAATTTTAAGAAATCATAAAAATTTTGACACAGTAATTTGTGCCGAGCTTATTCGCTTTTCTTTATTCATTGGAGTCAATACAAGGTCCTTTTGACAGAACTGCATAAGCACAACTTGCGCTTTAGCAAGACTGCGTCTATGCATATCGCATGCTTCAGCTTCGTTCGTAATGGTTAAGCGGCATTGATTCCGGAAGCTAAAGGGCTTTGTAAAAGCCCTTTTTTGAATTTCGAGTATAAATTCATGTTTTCGATCTTTTTTTGTGGTACTCTTAAAATTTCGGGGGTGTAATAAAACTTTGTGTGCGAAGTGAAAAAAAATGTTTTAAATATTGTCCATCAAAGTCCTCACGTCGTGCCATTGCAAGCCAGCGAAACATCAATAAATTACTGATAAAGTCATCATGGTTTCATTTGCCGTCTGATAATTTACTTTCTGAGCGCCTTCTTATCTTGAGGAAAGTAATTGATCCAATCGCTACAACAGTTGCATGCTGGACCAAAAGCCATTCATCGCTTATCGAGAAAGTACAAAATGCTACCCAAAATGTTGTCTCATAAATAGTGAAAACTTTTAAGCTCAACAACACCAAGTGGTATTAAACGTAAGATTTTAAGAATTACGTGGAACAGAGATGGTCTCATTCCGAAACCTTTTTATTTTCAAGCTTTTTTAGGCCTTTTCGTGCACACCGCTCCAGCACCTTCGAGCTCTTTGAATATCGAGGCAATGTGCCAGGTTGCCTCGAGGCATCCACTCAGGAGGTCACAAAAGAGGTCAGCAGCTACAAATATGATCTTCGAAAAATGTCTTACAAAATATGATATCAAGGAATTGGTGCTTTCCATCGTGCAGATCTCATCTATGTCATTGGTCAGCAAGCTTACGCTGTGATACTCGTCATTTCAGATAAATGTCATCGCCGTCAGCTTGTTGGAATTCCGTAATAAAATGTAGACACCTAGAAGGTGGGTGGCGTATCGCCGAGGTTGCTGCTTCGACCCAAAGAGAATTAGAGGTTGACAAGACTGCTCCGAACAAAAGCCGTGCAAAGAAAAAAATGATATCAATTTCTTTGGATACATTAGAACTGTCGCAGCAAGGCTATGTCACGATTCCTCTGAACCTCAATTATGAAGGTGGCCGTTAAAACGGATGCCATTGACGAAGGTCTCGCAAGGCTCGCAGACAGAACGTGTTGAAAGACAAAGCAATTGCTGCATGCCATCGCAGGCAACACCTTGAACATATACGCAAAAAATTAAGGTGCTTGTATAAAATTGCATTCGCTGGACACTAACTCAATTTTTCGACTTCAAGCTGTGCGCATAAGTTTTTCTGAGTATGTACATGAATGCTTCGAGCAGTGTCCATTGCTTACAGAATTTAGGTTATAGAACAAAACATATTCAGAATGTGATCTTTTTGATTCATGTGCAGCAGAACATATTGCATTAAGCGAAGGGCCGTAGCTCATTATTCAACGCCTGTATCTTGCTGCTTCGACACAAAGTGATGTCACGATTGCTGTGACACGAATAGTTTTCATGACATCGAATATTTGTTGGAAAGATTACCAAGCAGCGAAAGAAGACAAAATTCCTGTGAAGAGTATGGTAGAAGGCAGGAGAAACTTCAGGGTTGATTAGTGAACGTAAATGCGAAATCAATCGTCACCGCATGCTTTTGTAGCATTGTTGAAGACATCAACGTTGAATTTGCAGTCATGGTGAGGCAAGGACTGCAAATTTCAAGGAATGCTTCCGCGGTAACTTTTGACGAAGCAATAGAGTCGTTCCATAATTCTATAACTTCATCATCACTAGTGTAGTCTCATTTTCAATTTGTTCTTCTCTTCTTTTGTTATTATATAACGCTTCGACGATTGAAAAAGGAAATTATTATCTTGTATTTATGCTGCTAGTTCTGTTAGAGATCAGCCTTTAAGAGTAACTAAGCGTCTACACTGGGGCAGTCGACAAAAGAGGCCGATTGCTCTGTAGACGTGACCTTGCAGAACCGACAGATGTCATCAATACAGCCTACGCCACCATTAGCGCACGAAGTATCAGTATAAATATTGATGCCAACGGCAGCATCGCCATCCGATTGGATCTGAGTACAGATTGCTCCAACTGACGAGGGAGTATCATTGACGACAGGGGATTCAGTAGGTGCTTCAGTATCTGTATCAATTGAATCACTATTCGGTTTCGAAACGTTGGTGGTAGTGTCAACGCCAGCAGAGTAACCATCGATGGATGTACAATCCGGAAAGGTCGACGACTGAGTCGTTTTAAATACTTGGCAGAAGCGGCAAACTGCGTCGATACAGCCTAAACCGCCATTGACACAGCTAGCGTCTGAAACTATGTTGATTCCGACTGATGCATCACCCGAGGAAATAACTTGAGTACACGCTGGATGGGTGATTGGAGCTTCGGTCACTGAGCTTGTAGGTGTTTGCGTAGACCCGTCGATGTCAATGGAGGTACCGGATGAAGGAGGCGCTGTTCCGGTCAACGGTATGAAAGTATTTGGGCTAAGAACTGTGCGACAGTCATTGAAAGCGGCCGACTGTTGAGTGTACACGAGTCTGCAATAGCGGCAAACATCGCTAATGCATCCAATACCACCTGTAGCACACGAGTCATCCGGAACGATAATGATGCCAGCCTTAATATCTCCCTCAGCAGCGACCTGCTGACATGTGCCAGTGACAAGCGGGGCCTCAGTGGGAATTTCTGTCGGTACTTCAGTCGAAGGTTCTGCAGGCTTGTCGTCTCCGACCACAAAATTGGCGACAGTATGACAATCGATAAATGTAGCCGACTGAACTGTTGTCGTTAATCTGCAATAGCGACAAACTTCGTCAATGCAGCCAATGCCACCACCCGCGCACGTATTGTCCGTGACAATTTTGATTCCGACGGCGGCATCGCCTTCAGACACCTTAATTGAGCAGACTGATCCATTACTCGGTACATTCGTGCCGGTGAAGGCTGGTATTGGAGTAGTCGGCGTACCGTCGGTTACAATGGTGGTCGTATTCATCTTGTTACAGTCGATGAAGGCAGTGGACTCTGCTGTCTCATTTAGCTTGCAAAATCGACAATGATCTTTAAAGCAACCGAGGCCTCCATAAAGACAATCTGTGTCGGAGACTGCCGCAATTCCGACGGCAGCATCGCCTACTGAAATTTCGCAAGGACCAGTAGGGGCAGTCAACGTAGCCATGGTTGTAAAACTAGCTCCGAACGAAGAACAACTTTCAAACTGCGTTGACTTAGGTGTGTCGATGAGCTTGCAATAGCGACAGTGGTCGTTGTAACAACCAAGACCACCATTCAAGCAGCCAACATCATCAACGACTCGAACACCAAAGCTCTTGTCACCCTCCGAGACTTCGCATGCCACAGTCGAAGTCGACGTCTGTGCGGTTGACAAAGACAGTGTAGCCAAGCTGAGGCCACATAGAGCAAACATCTTGACGTAAGCTCGGGTGGAACTGTACGAGTAAACCATTCTTGAAAGAATGCTCGAGTTTGAAGGTTGAAGTTATCAAGATGAGTTTGGCTGACGATGCACCTTGAAAAATGAAGGAGGTTGTGAGAACTTGGTCAACTACATGAGCAGCCAATTTGCTTCCTATTTATGTAAGCAAGCACTGAGTAAAAATATATCTATTGCATCCTTGAGTAAATACTTATCTAGCTGCATCCTTCAGATAAAAATACATCAAGTTCCATGCTTCAAGTGAACATATATTTATCTCTTCAACAGCATCGCAACGATTGCATCGCTTGAATGCCGCTGATTGTATTAATATCTCGATTGACCTTTTGTACCTTTGAATAGCAAGAAAAAATCTTACAAACCAGAAAACGTAGGAATTGACAACGGAATACCTCGGTTGATATAAAGTATCAATATGCAATCGCTGATATATTTACGGATTCAAATCTACTTGGCAAGCAACATATTCACGACAATCTTTCTGGATCAACACAGAATATTTCGTGAAAGTGTGTCCGAATTTGGGAATGTGACAAATGTAGTTCTTGGAGCAATGTATTCTTAAAAATCATGTAACGAGTCCAACATAATGTCTTCTGATCAGAGTGAACAGCTTTGTTTGGACACAAAGATCAAAAGGTGATAAATTAATCAAATTTTAGTAAGTACTTTACCTCCTTGAATGCGACGAAAAATTATTTAGTAGATTTATGAATGAACCGCTAATTCAAACGATATTACTTGAGTGATACTCAAAATGAATGCTTTATACTCCGACACAGTATAGATCTTGAAATTGCAGCTAGTTCTGATCACCGTTGACTCTTTTCTACTATTTATGAAGTTATTCCAGTTGTTAAAATGGCTGGCAAAGCTTGGTATTGGCGAGTGTCAGGAAAATCATAAAACGACGCGTGTCATTCATGTGTAGCGAAATGCCAATTGACACCACATTTTATCGTTCTTGAAGTCACATAGTCCTTACGTCTCGGTGGCGCTTCGCCTACGCTGAAAAGGCATCACGCTTTATAAACTTGATCCAGCTTACGGATTTGATTACGTGCTGATTTTACGCACACTGTGCTCCAATTCGAGCTTCTTTTAACATTGAAAACACCACGAACACACCACGAATGATATTTCGCTTGTTACTTAGGACAGACTATAAAAAATTTCAACTGCATATCCAGCAAGAGCCTTTACACATTCTGCACAGCGCTAAAAGAAAAAACTACGCGTTGAAAGCTTTTGTATGAATCGCATTCTTTTTTGGACAAGAATGAAGTTTGGCAAATGGAGTTTGGCACCACGTTAAATCTGTTCAGCATCTTGTGAAGTTAAATATGTTGTATGGAATCGTGCAGCAAAAGTTGGTACGTATACAGCTCCAACTCTGAAAAATAGACGTATTAGTCTCGACCTTTTATTGAGTATAAAGCACGCGACCTTTGAAAGTCTGTCTAGCAGTCTACATGGCGTTCCAGGCACGGCACCGCTGGATGATCCAGCGTTTGCAGCTCGGTTTTGGTTTTAAGGATGAAAGTCAAGTAGAAGATCTCTTGCGTGGTAACTGCATCATGGAGCAGCTCACTCGGTTTTTCCGTGGTGACGGTCCCACGAAAATATTCTTTTATTACCAATTCAAAGGCGTGACTGACGACGATACTTCATCAACCCCAGAATCACGGCGAAAAGATCTTTTCATAACCGATGGACTGGACGAAATGCTGCAAGGACGTGTCGTATTTTTTGCCAAAGTAGTACCAGAAACCACGGAAAATTGCGAATATAACATTCAAGACAAGACGAATCCAGAAACTCAACATGAAAACACATCGTGTGACTCAAATTCGTGGCTGCCAATAGACCCAGCGATAGCTAACGACCATCTGCTCACATTTGGTGTCTTAGATTCATCCGTACTCGTGTCAATTGAGACGCATCTATCACAATTATTTCAGCCACTTTTGACTTCCCAAGACGCGAATTTTTGGGGCAAGGTAGAAATTGGTATTCGCAATGACTTTGTGCAAGATTTGAAAGCATTTGTGGTTAATGTACAAGAAAATCTTCAGGCAATGAATACCGGACTAGAATTGCGGAAACCAGACAAGAGATACGACACCACGAACTCCAGGAGTTTATCAAAATTATCGTCGGATGGCAATGCTGTGCAGCACTTTGTAGAGCTCGTTAAGGATTGGTGTAAGCAGACCGAAGCGTATCTGGAAGGTAATGATCAAGAAGTCTGGGAATCACACGAGGCGGGCCCTGCGACGGAGCTAGAATACTGGAATCGACGACTACAACGACTCGTGGGCATTACAGAGCAACTGAAAACTAAAGAATGCAAAATGGTCACTGGGGTCCTTCATGTCTTTTGCAAATTACAAGAAGGAGAAGCAGATAAGTTGAAAGTTACACAATTATTGCGCCAATGGAAGCAAATTGATGCAATCATCACCGAGGCATTGAATGAAGCTAAAGACAATGTCAAATACCTTGCGACGTTAGAACGCTTTATTGAACCCTTATACACAGGGACTCCATCGTCCGTAGTGGACGCACTGCCTGCTCTTTTGAATTCTGTCAAGATGATTCATACGATTGCACGATATTACAATACGACAGAGCGCATGACAAAGTTGTTTACGACATTCACGAATCAGATGATCATATTGTGCAAAAAGCATCTGGTTGGAGCGGAACCTTCGGAGGCTATTTGGGACAAAGATTCTGAAGTGCTGCTTCTGGGATTGGAGCAGTGTTTAAAGCTCAATGAGGCTTACCAAGAGCAATATCGTTTTACAAAAGAGAAGCTCCTGACAGTGCCGAAAGGCAAACAATTTGATTTTGGTGAGACACAAATTTTTGGCAAGTTTGACCTCTTTTGTCGACGACTTGTCAAGCTCAGCGACATTTTCAGTACCATACATCAGTTTCGTACTCTAGCGCAGCATTCATATTTGCTGGAAGGGATGGATACGCTATTGGCATCCTTCGACACGATCGTACAAACATTTCGCGCTCACAAGCATGACTTACTTGATTATCAAAATAACAAATTTGACCGTGATTATGTCGATCTGAATATACAACTTGCTGATTTAGAAGCATCATTGCAACATTTAATTAATGTACGCTTCGACTCTATCTCAAGTATTGAGCAATCGCTGCAGCTACTGAAAAAACTTCAGCATATATTACAGCGCGAGTCACTGCGCAGCGACCTGGATTCGAAATTTATCGTTATTTTTTATAAGTATGGACTTGATTTGTCGCACGTTCAAGAGTTATACGAACGTCATCGACATGATCCCCCTGTTGCACGTAACTTACCTCCTGTAGCTGGGAACATTCAATGGTCGCGTCATTTACTACGTCGAATTGAAGAGCCAATGCGTAAGTTTGAGAGTAACCCAAACGTTTTGTCGACAAAAGATAGTAAGAAAATCATCAAAACTTACAATAAAGTGGCACGAACGCTTGTAGCATTCGAGTATTTATGGTACGAAGCATGGTGTCGGTCAGTAGAAAACGCACGGGCAGCTTTGCATGCGACACTGATCATTCGAGATTCCAACACAGGTCGCTATTATGTGAATTTCGATAAAGGAATCCTGCAGCTGATTCGTGAGGCTCGTTGTCTCGATCGAATTGGAATCGAAGTGCCTGAAAATGCACGTATGGTCATGTTACAAGAAGATAAATTTAAGGCTAACTATAATGATTTAAACTATGCACTTCATCAATATGACCGTGTGGTCGCCAAAATCATCCCAATCACAGCCGCATTGTTGCGTCCTCATTTGGAAGATTTAGAGCAAAAACTTACGCCTGGACTTGTCACTCTTACATGGACAAGTATGAATATTGATGCTTACACAGCTGTAGTACACGCGATGTTGCAGCGTCTGGAGAAACTCATCTCGAGCGTCTCGGATGCCATTGAAAATCGTATTGAGAAAAATCTCGTACTTGTATCCAAAGCATGTCTTGTCCACTTACCCACAAATCAGTCATTCGCTCTTGACGAGTTTGTACGGATGCAAGAAAAGCATGTGGTAACTATCACAAAGCAGTTGGGAGCGAAGAATGTCGAGATTGAAAATGCTGTCGAAGATGTACTGAGATTAATCTGTGAGTGTCACTTAGACGGTTCGTCAGCCTCTGATGCCGTGCTTTCGGTAACCGGTTCGAGAAATGCAATGTGTTCTGCTGAAGCCATCGAGGCGTTTCGAAATTTCTACCAGAATCTCTTTTATCGCTCCTTATTGACGTGTACAAAGAATTCGCTAGATTTAATCAAGAATCGTGTGTGTTCGAAAGCAGGAGCAGGTTTTCTTTTCATCGAGCGTCCTTTTTTTGAAGTGGACGTACAGCTATCCGTCCCGTCCGTTCGCTTAAATCCTTCCCTCGAGGACATCCAAAAAGCAATCAACCGATCTGCAGTTGCTGTAATACGTTGCTCCAAGAGTCTGTACGAATGGGGCCAACAGACAGTTGTGCCAGATAGTGCACGCATTAGTCTATTTGAACGTCTTGGGTGCGACACAGAGATCATCAAGGTGGCTATTCTGTTAACTGGTGCATTGCATGGTACAAAGAATCATGTTCACGAATACCTTTCTGCGTTCAAAAAGTACGACTGGCTTTGGAAAGAAGACATGGAATATCGCTACAACCAATTTATACAGCGTAATCCACTTATTCAGGATTTCGAAACAGAATTAAAATACTTTATGGCAATTGAAGCTGAAATCTCGGTAATAGCTCCGGTTCACAACATTGCCGTCTTATCTCTCAGCACAAAAAATCTTAAGCTGCAATTACGTAATGAGTGTCGTCAATGGAAGGTTAAGTATTCAGATAAAGTACATAATCAAGCCCGGACAGCACTTTTGAATTTGATTGATTATATTCGAACAACCACCGCAAAGCTTGATGCACACGTTGAATCACTTGATGCTCTTCGACTTGTTATGAGTGTGTTGAAAGAAATAAGGGAGCGTGAATCGGCGATAGAGATGGAAATAAATCCAATTGCAGAAATGTACGCGATGCTTGAACATTATCTGCCGGGAGGATATATGGACAAAGAGGAGATGGAGCATAAGAATGTCTTGCGCAGTTCGTGGCAAAAGCTTGTCGATTATGCCGAAGAAGTGACGGATAATTTGTCCGAAATACAGGGTGGATTTAAAAGGCAGTTGATAAATGACATTAAAAGCTTTCAGGCAGATGTTGCAATATTTCGAAGCGAGTACGAAACAAATGGTCCGTTGGTTTCTGGTCTAGATCCTTTGGAGGCTGTGGAACGTTTGAAATGCTATAAGAATTTGCTTTCAACAATGGAACACAAACTTGAAGCGTATTCGGCTGGCGAAGAGCTGTTTGGTATGCGGCCGACAGAATACCCTGATATCGTACGCACCCGAAAGGAATTGGTATTGCTAGATCAGCTCTATAGTCTTTACTTGGACGTTGAAAAGACCATGGAAGAGTTTCGTGGAATCGCGTGGGTACAAGTAGGTGCGTATGTTGACCAAATGAGCGAGTGTTATGCTAGGTATGATGCACGATGTAAGAAGCTGCCAAAGACTTTGTACGAGTGGGAAGCATATAGAATTTTACGTAAAGCCATTTCAGAATTTTTGGATATCTTACCTATCGTTCGTGATTTGACGAGAGAGAGTATTAAACCGCGTCATTGGGACAAACTTATTGAATCTTGCAGTAGTCGGCGACTGCCTTACGATTCTGATTCATTTAAGTTTCAGGACGTCCTTGATGTACAGCTTCTAACGTATAAAGAAGACGTCGAATTTATATGTGAAAGTGCACAGAAGGAATTACAAATTGAACACAAACTTTGTGATCTAACGGAACGCTGGGCGGGTACAACTTTTGAGTTTAGTGAATGGAGACAACGCAATATTCCCGTTTTAAAAGCTTATGGCCAGGTAATTGAAGATTTAGACGATAGTCAACTACAACTTCAAGCGATATTAAGTATGAGGCATGTTGTATTTTTCAAAGATCGCGTCCAGTCAAAGCTTTCTCAGCTTTCCGATACAGCCGACGTCCTTGAACTGTGGATCAAAGTGCAAACATTGTGGATGTCCCTGGAATCAGTGTTTACAGGTGGTGATATTGCGAAACAAATGCCTTATGAGGCGAAGAAGTTTGCAAAAATTGATAAAGACTGGCTCAAAGTTATGACAAAAGCCGCAGAAGTGGGTTTTGTTGTTTCGTGCTGCTCAAATGAAATGATACGTAGCATGCTTCCATCCCTGTATGGGGAACTTGAAAAGTGCCAAAAATCCCTAGAAGGATATCTTGAGCAAAAACGCAAAAAATTTCCACGGTTCTACTTTGTATCTAACCCTCTTTTGCTGCTTATACTGTCTCGAGGATCGGACCCAGCAGCGGTTCAGCAATACTATGAAAAAATCTTCGATAGTATCAGCCACGTAGTCCATGAAAAGTCTGCCTTAGACGCGAGCCGTCGCGTTTCATCATCCCATCTACTAAAACGCAGAATAATTCAAATCAAATCACTTTTAGGAAATGACGAAGAAACGATATCTCTTGTTCAACCTGTCCTTCCTGACGGAAATATTGAAGAGTGGCTCGGTGCGCTAGAAAAAGAAATGCGTCGAACTTTGAAAACCTTATGTCGTCAAGCTGCTGCGGAATGTCAGTCAACGTCACTGAAAGATTTTGTCAGTAAGACATGTGCTCAATTTGCGCTTCTTGGAATTCAGTTAAGCTGGACAGCTGAATGCCAGGACGCACTTCAAAAGTGCCTCAAGACGAAAGGAATAATGGCACAAACGGCAAAGAAACAGGGACTGATATTATCCGAACTATCGTCTTGGTGTCTTACCGATCTTGGTACGAAGCTTGTGCGTACTAAAATTGAGACCTTAATTACAATTCAAGTTCATCAGCGTGATTGTTTTCTGGAACTGTCTCGCCTTTTCAAAGAAAAAAAACTTTTTGATGCCAATGACTTTGAATGGCTCAAACAAGCTCGTCTTTATTGGCATCTTGGCAGTCAAGGTGCATCCGATTCCGTAGGTCCAGATGCCTGTTGTGTCTCCATTTGTGACATCGATTTTAAGTATGCTTTCGAGTATTTAGGCTGCAAAGAGCGTCTTGTCATCACGCCATTAACAGACCGTGCGTATATCACACTCTCACAAGCACTCGGTATGCACTTAGGTGGTGCACCGGCTGGTCCAGCAGGGACAGGCAAGACCGAAACGGTCAAAGATCTTGGTCGTACACTTGGTATCTACGTTATTGTCACGAATTGTACTGATCAGCAACGGTATTCTGACATGGCAAAAATCTTGAAAGGACTTTGTCAAGGAGGCTTTTGGGGCTGTTTCGACGAATTTAATCGTATCGAGCTGCCCGTATTGTCGGTCGTCGCCCAACAAGTTCTTGCTATTACAAATGCTAAGCGTGTTCAAGCTCCTATGTTCACATTTCCAGGCGATCCGCTTCCTATTGGACTTCACTCAGATGCTGCATACTTTATTACGATGAATCCAGGCTATCAAGGACGGCAGGAACTGCCTGAAAACCTTAAAGCACTCTTTCGAGGTGTATCCATGATGGTTCCTGATCGTGAGATCATCATGAAGGTCCGACTTTGCGCCGTTGGTTACGATGCCTTTGCTGAACTCGCACGCAAGTTCAAGACTTTATATGCTGTGTGTGAAGGTCAGCTCTCGAAACAACGCCACTACGACTTTGGGCTTCGCAATATCTTGTCGGTGCTACGATCAGCGGGTGCGACGAAGCGTGAAAACCTTAAAGCAAGCGAGACATTGCTGCTTATGACTACATTGCGCGATATGAACTTGTCAAAACTTGTCGCGGTAGATGTACCGATTTTTTTGTCGCTTCTTCGCGATATTTTTCCTGGTGTTGAGCCGGCACCTTCATCGACGTGTGATAGTAGCTCTGAGTTGGGCAAAGCCATCCAAAGTGTGTTGCAAACAGCCCAGATCTGGCCGCCACCCGCTGCATGGAGCGCAAAGGTGACTCAACTGTACGAGACACAGCTTGTCCGTCATGGGATTGCGCTTGTTGGACCAGCAGGAGCTGGCAAGTCGGAAATTTTGCGTACAGTGCTGACAAGTCTAAGTTCTGCCACGAGCATTCCGCATCGACAAGTCCGTTTGAACCCAAAAGCTGTTCGTGCTGAGGAACTTTTCGGCGAAACCGATCGGCTCACTGGCGAATGGGTTGACGGCGTGTTTGCAGCAATCTGGGCCAAGTTTAACGACCGGACTCGACGAGATGTGTCATGGTTGGTCTGTGACGGACCTGTGGATGCCGTGTGGATCGAGAATCTGAACACAGTACTGGATGATAACAAGTTGCTGACACTGGCGAACGGTGATCGCTTACCCATGACTGATAATTGTAAGCTTCTTTTTGAAGTTGAAGACCTGCGCAACGCATCACCTGCAACCGTATCACGAGCAGGAATAGTATACGTGAGTGACACGGATCTTGACTGGGAGCCAGTAGCGCAACGATGGCTTCGTACGCGATCAGACGCCCAGCGCGTAGCATTGGGACGGAGTATCCGAACTTTCGTCGGTGGTGGTGAGACGTCGGGTTCAGGTCATCTATTTGACTTTTTTAAGAAAAATTGCCAACCGGTTATTAATACACCGCGCGTTGCGCTGATTCAAGCAAGCTTAAACCTATTACAGTCTCTTTTAGAGCGCTGTGAGCTTAGCGATGATTCGGATGTAGAGGTGGAACTGGAAAGATTGTTTGCATTTGCACTCGCGTGGGCAATTGGGGGCGTTCTAGACGTGAATGATCGCCAAAAACTTAATATTTATTTGGTCGGAAAGGGTGCAAAAAGCATATTTCCACCGGCAACTCACACAAGAATAGTTGGTCATGAAGCTTCAGCAAGTCTAGAAGGACGAGGTCAAGCACTGACTGTGTTTGATTATTTCTTACATCCTTCGACACTTGAATGGGAAAAGTGGCCACTTGAACGAACAGATAATCTGTTAACGCGATCAACCAGCCTTGTGAATGTCGGGTGTATCGTTGTTCCAACCACAGACACGGTACGTGCTCTGTATATACTTGAGCACCTCCATAAGAGTCAAGTACCTGTCCTCGTTGTTGGAGATCCAGGTACTGGTAAGTCGACGCTGGTGCGATTATTCCTTGAAACGTATGTCGATCAAGTGAGCCTATCTCGAACGCTCATCTTCTCAGGAGCGACATTAGGAGGTGCCTTTCAAGCGGCAGTTGAAAGTGATTTAGAAAAGCGCAGTGGCAAGACGTTTGGCCCCTCGAACGGTCAACAGCTTACGTTTTTTATCGACGATCTTGCCATGCCAGCGCTTAACGAGTGGGGCGATCAGCCAACGCTGGAAGTTGTTCGACAGCTTGTAGAGTCCCGAACACTCTGTTTTCTGGATAAAGACAAACGTGGAGACATCAAAATTATTGAAGAACTTCGTTTCATGGCAGCGATGGGCTTACCACAGGCCGATAAGAATGACATACCGGCACGTCTGAAGCGACATTTCTTTCTTTTGAATCTACCGCCACCTTCTCCTGAAGTTGCTGAAGCCATCTTTGCTCAAATCATCTACTGGCAATTCGTTTCCAACCACGACGATTCATTCTCTGCAAGTGACATGCTAGTAGCTAAATCACTCCAGGAATTAATATCGCGTCTCGCGACTGCCTCTGTCCATTTGTGGCTCTGGCTACGCCGTACGCTGCCTCCGAGTCCGCAAAAATTTCACTACGTCTTCAGCTTGCGTGAGCTTAGCCGAAGTCTTCAAGGGCTTGTACGAGCCCCACATGAGAGTGCGATAAGGTCGGAAGAGGTGCTTATTCGACTTTGGCAGCACGAGAGTGAGCGCGTGTTCAGCGACCGACTCGTCTCGCTTGAAGATAAACAGCTTTTTAATGACGAATTGAATGATGTTGCGGATGGATTATTTACAAAGTCAGCACCTTTGACGAGACTCAATGGTGGTAGCAAAGACAAGGGAGTAGCCAACACTTCTGATGGACACATACCCCAACGTCGGCAGTCTAGCCTACATGGACGACAAGCTATGGTCTACGTTGACTTTTTGCAAGACCAACCTGTCGACGAGCTCGGCGACCCGGTGGGTGAAATGCCACGAATTTACGAGCCCGTGTCTAATTTACCAACTCTACGTTCCCGAGTGGAGCATCTTCTAGCTCAGTATAATTGTGAGAATCCTGGACGTGCGCTTCCATCTCTGATTCTTTTCGAGGAAGCGTTAAACCACTTAGCCCGGATCACGCGTATTTTTGGACTACCCCAGAGCAATATGATGCTCGTTGGTGTAGGAGGGTCGGGAAAGCAATCGCTAGCTCGACTGGCTGCCATCTTAAGTGGTCTAGAACTATGTCAATTAACCGTTACCAAGGCATACACGCTCACAGCATTTCGCGACGATGTACGTGCTTTGTGTCAGACGGCTGGACAGGCTGGAAAAGGAGTCGTTTTTCTCTTGACAGAGGCGGACATCAAGGACGATTCGTTTCTTGACCAGATTAATGTACTCTTAGCTACTGGTGAAGTACCTGGATTATTTTCTCGCGACGAATTTGTAGCCATGGCGAGTGAACTGCGCAGTGCCATGCGGTCTGAATGTCCAGACGCAGCGGACACATTGGCAAACCTCACGCGCTTCTTTTACGATCGCTTGCGACGTCATCTTCACGTTGTCTTATGTCTTTCTCCGGTGAGTTCACGCTTTGCTGCGCGCTGTCGGGAGTTTCCACATCTTGTAACTGGATGCACGATCGATTGGTTTTTACCTTGGCCAGAAGAGGCACTAAGGGCAGTGAGTCACGGATTTCTTGACGCGTTTGTACTTGAGACGCCGCGAGTGACAAAAGATGCTTTGATTCTCCAACTGGGACGAATGCACCAAGCGGTTGAACACGTAAGTGACGAATACTACAAGCACAGGCATCGTAGCGTTGTGCAAACTCCACGCACCTTTTTAAGCTTTCTTGCTACGTACAAGGAATTGTACACAGACAAGTTGCGCAAGGTGCAACATTTGGAAGAAGCCGTGGATCTTGGCCTTCAAAAGCTTGGACAAGGGGCACAAGACGTCGAGCGGATGAAAGTTGTTCTCAAACACGAGGAAGCTAAGCTTGAAATTGCTGAGGCTGCGTCAAATGAAATGCTTGAGATACTTCAAGTCAAATCGCTGGAAGCGAAAAGAGAGAGCGACATTGTCCAAAATATCCGGCAACAGTGCCTTTCTGATGCAGCCGCCATTCGGGCTGAAAAAGAAGCGGCAGAAGAAGACTTAAAGCGTGCTCAACCATTTTTGGACGAAGCCGAACGCGCAGCAAACAGTATTCGTCCAAATGACTTAAACGAGCTAAAAAAGCTCGCAAAACCAGGTGATATTATCAAGCTCATCTTTGACTGTGTCGCAATATTACAAATGGCTCCGCTGGTCAAGGTCGAGCGCGTTACAATTTCGTTAGGAATTGGCAAGGAACGACACTCGTGCAATTTTCTCCAGGATTCGTTCCAACTTGCAAAGTCCGGGATGCTCGCAGACATGCGCTTCTTACAGACCATTTTCAACTTTTCGAAACATCAAAAAGATCAAATGAATGACGAGACACTTGAGTTTATGGCGCCGTATATGGAACTTACAGGCTTTAGTGGTCCCGCCGCCAAGAATGCGTCAAAAGCAGCTGAAGGTCTTTTTTGCTGGGTAAACGCGATGAGTTTGTACCACAACGCATCCAAGGTCGTCAAGCCAAAGCTTGAGGCGCTTCGGATCGCCGAGGGAAAGCTTGAAGCTGCGCAAACACGACTTGAAAGCTCAGAAGACAAACAACTACAATGTCAAAATGTTCTTCGCCAGTTGCAGCAGGAATTTGAAAAACAAATGGCCGAAAAGGCTCGCGTCGAGGCATTTGCACAAGCCACAAAGCGCAAAATGGAGCAAGCGACAGCTTTGATTAAAGGTTTAAGTGGCGAAAAATTGCGCTGGACGGACGACTCGAATCGGTTTGTCGAGCAAAAGCAACACTTGGTCGGTGACTGTGCGCTTGCAGCCGCTTTTTTGTGTTATTGTGGTCCATTCAACAGAGAGTACCGCAATTTGCTACTACGTGAACGTCTGCCAACAGAGCTTGGAGCTACCCCACTTGGTAGCACTGCTAGTTCGAATCCATCACCATTTCCTATCCCTTTGACACGCAACTTGGCACTGGACGAGTTTTTGGTCGATGCTGGGTCGGTGAGCGATTGGAAATTGCAAGGGTTGCCGTCCGATCCGCTGTCTATCCAAAATGGCATCTTAGTGGCACGAGCACCGCGTTTCCCACTACTCATTGATCCACAAGGCCAAGCTTTGGCGTGGATTCTGCATCGAGAATTAGATCGTCTACCCTCTGCGGGTGTTGTTTCGGTAAATAGTCTTAAGCTGCGCGAGATTCTTGAACATTGTGTGGGTGAAGGAAAAGCTTTGATTATTGACGGACTGGATGGAACTGATTTGGATCCTCTTCTGGCCAATGTGCTCGACAAAAATTTTATCCTTCGCGCTAAGGGAAAGTATGTCAAGCTGATGGACCGCGTGTGTGAGTATAACGACGATTTTACGCTGTTTCTGACCACACGGTTGGCCAATCCGCACTTTTCACCAGAGCTACAGGCACGTACACTTGTTGTTGATTTTACCGTGACACAAAACGGTCTGGAAGAGCAGCTTCTTGCTCAAGTGATTCGTCAAGAGCAACGCTCACTAGAAGAGCAATTGGAGCGCGTGCAATGCGAGTTAAACTCCAATGCCAAAGCGCTAGTGGCCCTGGATGCGCTGCTTTTAGAGCGATTATCAGCAAGCAAAGCAAATCTACTAGACGATGTCGAACTTGTTTCCGTCTTGGCGAATACAAAGGCCAAAGCGACTGAAGTGAACGACAAGATATTGGCAGCTGAAGAAGTAAAGCAAGGGATTGATGAAAAACGGGAATACTATCGCCCCGTGGCTGCTCGCGGCTCGATACTTTACTTTGGAATTGTTGAGTTTGCAGCAGTGAATGTTATGTACCAGACGTCGCTGGATCAATTTCTTCAGCTTTTCGTGAAGTCTATCGACCAAGCCGAGCGATCAGTTCTTGCGTCCAAACGAGTGACAAATATTATAGAGACCCTAACGTATATAGTCGTCCGATACGTGACGCGTGGCCTCTATGATCGTCACCGTCTCAGTTTTCTTCTCATGATTGCACTCAAGATTCTCGTTGCTGCAAACTGCGTGACTTCCGCTGACGTCACGCTCTTTCTTAATGCTGGAGCTGCTCGAAAAGTGTTGAGTGAGCAGCCAAAGAAGATCACATGGATGCCGACAAGCGTGTGGCTGAATGCAATACATCTTGCTACTGAAAAACCGCTCTTTCGTAGTCTTGTAAGTGATCTGGAACGCAACGAAAGTTTGTGGCGCAAATGGCTTGACGACAATGAGCCCGAGCGTTTACCTTTACCCGAATATGAGGGGCTGTTATTCGATCCACGTGTTCTAACAGCAAACCTGCACTTTCACCGACTGCTTTTAATACGCTCATTACGCGAAGATCGCACAATTCCGGCCGTCATCAACTTGATTCGAGCGATAGAAGTAATTGAAGGTGGAATAGGAAGTAGTTTGTCGCGACTGCCGGCGTTAGGACCCCGGTATGTCGAACCTATTACCGACACGGTAGAAATCGTGCACCAGGATATGCGAGCAGAAGCACCCGTGTTGTACTTGCTTTCGCCCGGTGCAGACCCGACTGAGGCTATCGAACAACTTGCGCGGCGAAAACGTCAAACTGTCACGACTATTTCAATGGGAGAAGGACAAGAAGAGATTGCGGTTCGTGCTGTGCTGTCTGCCATGGCTAATGGATCTTGGGTTTTGCTCCAGAACTGCCATCTGGGACTTACTTCGATGGACGTGCTTTGCGAAGCTTTAGGTAGTGCTGCTAGCTCGTCCGAGAGCTTGAATTCAGCCGCAAGTATAGCCCGAGCACCCGAGTTTCGCCTCTTCTTGACATCTGAACCGCATCCAGACTTCCCGATCGCATTGTTACATCGCTGCACAAAGGTGACGAACGAACCGCCTGCTGGTCTTCGTGCAGGTCTACTGCGCAGCTTTACTGTCCTAATAGATCAAGACAGACTGGACCGTCTCGAAAATTCATCGTGGCGTGCTCTAGTATTTGCTGTCTGTTTCTTACACTCGATTGTTGTTGAGCGCCGTAAATTCGGTCCGTTGGGTTTTAGTGTGCCGTACGAATTCAACGCCGGTGATATTGGCGCGTCCTTGAGCTTCCTAGAGCGACATTTGTACACATCGCCATCGCCATCGTGGCCAACCGTGCAATATATGGTGGCCGAGGTGCATTACGGTGGTCGTATCACTGACGAGCTAGATCGACGGCTTTTTCGGGCCTATTGTGAAGCATGGCTCAGTCCGACGCTATTTGAGCCTTCGTTCTCATTTAACCCGGAAGACAAGCTTTCCACAGGATCCACAAATGCTCCATCTGTTCAACTATTTAACTATGGTCGGCCTGACTTGTCTGTGGTTGAGATTGATGAGTATCATCGATATATTGCTGGCTTCCCGAGTGTAGACTCACCAGAAGTGTTTGGCTTACACCCGAATGCTGACCTTACATACCGTGTAAAGGAAGTATCGGCTCTTTTGGGCACGATCGCACTCACGCAACCGACAGATACCGATACTTCAGCCGCCACCGCGCAGCTAGAGTCACGAGAGGAATTAATTTTGCGTAGGATTCGTGATCTGCTGGCCGTTCTTCCTGCGGGAAGTGAAGATGCTCTCAGCGAAGAAGCGCTGATTCAGGCACTACGTTCTAAGATACTCGGTGGGGGCTTAGAGCTGCCGCTCAATGTATTTTTATGCCAAGAAGTTCGCACACTTCGCCTTGTCTTGAACTACGTGCGAACGTCTCTAACGAAGACCCAGCGTGCACTGAAGGGGGAAATAGTGCTGACATCCTTACTACGCGAGACGAGTCAAGCCTTATTTGACAATAAAGTACCCTCATCTTGGGTTGCGAATGATCAAGCGTGGCTTGCTGGAACGTTAGGCTTTTGGATTACAGGACTTGTCGACCGATTAACTCAATTGCGTACGTGGCTCGAGCGCGGCCGACCGTCCAGCTTTTGGCTCGCGGGTTTTGCAAACCCGCGCGGATTTCTTACAGCTGTCGCTCAAGAAGCAACGCGATCCAATTTAAGTGAGCGCTGGGCGCTAGACGATGTAGTTTATTACAGTGAAGTTACAGACTATGAGCGACTAGAGCAGATTAAGCAGCCGCCACACGACGGTGTTCTCGTGCACGGATTGATGATCGACGGTGCCGCGTGGAATCGAGCCGAGGGAACTCTAGTAGAGCAAGAGCCCAAACGATTATTTGCGCCCCTTCCCGCCGTCCATGTTACGGCCGCGACGAAAGCGTACAAGAAAACGCGAGCTTCCCAGGATTATGGACCGTACGGAGCCTACGAAGCTCCAGTCTATCGCTATGCGAGCCGAACAGACAAACACTATATTTTTTCGATCCCGTTGGGGTCCAGAGACCATCGACCGCTGCACTGGACGTTGCGGGGTGTTGCTTTACTATGCTCCACCGATCAATAGCATGCTTTCCGTTTCCAGTCTAGGGTTTTTAGTGCTATCATGCAATTTTTGGCATTTCGCTTGCTAGACATGCCACCAGTATAGAGTGCGCACGGCGCGCTTAACGGACCAAAAGGTTGCATATCACGCTACATCTTTAATGGAATGGGGGATCAAAGACAAATTATTCTTGAGGATGTCTGTTCAGCAAGAGCTTCAAGTTACTAAGTCTTCAAATTCGGTGTTTTGATACCATTCTATGGGGTTGCAGTAAGAGATTAATGCTAATTCAAGCAAAAGTTGTTGCTCCTAAGCAAAATGAGTCTGACACTCAAGCCATCGAGGGAGAACGTGTGCAATTTTAAAAGACACTTACAGTTTAAAGAGCCGTGGTCCCAAATTTTTTGTTCGACGAGCACGGCGATCATGACCACGACTTTTGAATTTTTCCGCTGTCTCCGCGGAATAAATCTTGACGCGTTGTTTGCGGATAAAAGCCAAGAAACTAAGCAAGTGTGCAGATAGCTGCTCGTCTACATGTTCTGGCCGAGGACAAATTTGTTACATCAGGTTTCTGCCGCGTGGAACGACTTCTAAATAATCATTTTTTGAACAGTGTCAATGCGGCCATGCCAACGCTGACATGGGAAGCTCGCGTCAGCGCGTCGCTATAGATATGTAGTGGCTTCTGATACGAGCTTGCTATCTTACGTCAGAGTTATACTCGACCACCATCTTGCCATTCGATGAGAGAGGTGTTGTAACGATATCATCATGCGTAATGACACGACTTTTTGAGTACAATATTTCACACCCACCAACTGATGCCAGACACGTATCTAAAGCTGTATAAGCCTTAGCTTTTATTAAACGCTTCCTTGCCGATAACCACATATCTCACACGCACACAAGCAAAATTACTGTATGACAAAAAGGATTGTTCTTCTACGTTTACAAACATGCCTCGTAGATATTCACGTCAACTTCATTGAACATACAACATTTGTTCCGTTTACCAACACGGACTATTATCCTAATGAGGGACACCATGCGTGATAACTTGGCCAATCTCCACGAATGAGCCCAATGTCTAGTTCAATCCAGCAAACCTCGACCTCGCTGACCTTCAATAACTTGTCCAAGAGCTTCTTCACTGTCATTGATGCAATGTTTGCTGCATCAAGGGACATCAATGGACGTACACGTCCCTCAAAAAGGATACTAGCGGAACAAAATTATCAACGAAAATACTTCGTGTTACACTGTTTACGATTGGCTTCGATCTATGTGGTGTTAGTACATTCCACATTCACCACAATTTCTTTTCGATGTATTGGACTGCGAACGCTGGATTCGTCATTGGACCAGCTCTACTGACCTTGTCACTGACGTGTTAAATTTTTAGACCCGATTTGCCACATGTTTAACAAATTCATTGAACATTTTCACCGAAATCAACTGGTCGTTTTTCTTAAGTATACAAGTCAATATTAATCTCCAAGTATTTGAGCCTCACCGCAAGCAAACAGAGCGATTTTCCTCATAGCATATCAATATGCGTGAGATAAGTGAGCTCGTATAGTGTCTATTTTCATTTCACCAAAGCCTGCGATCTTACTGACGTCACATTTGTCACAAAGCAGCCTCATATTCTTTAATATATGTAATAAGACGTGATAGTCTTTCCAGCCGCCCATAGCTTGGTCCAAACTTGGGATGGTCAATGTATGGTCTAGTAGCAAAACAAACGGCTGAAACGAGCACACTACAAACATTAACTCTGATCGATCAGCTTTCATCGAAAAAACATTCTTATCGACGACCCCTTGACCGAATTTTGTTTAGCGTCGGTCGAAGCAGTCATTGCGCTTCACACTTCTCAAAGTTCTTTGCTCACTAACAGAAGCTACTTCTATTTCTTAACTTCATGACTTGACTCTCAGGCTCGACATAGTGTGGTAAGCCCCAGAACTTTCATCGGGCAAACAATTTCCTTTTCCGAATTTTCAGAGACAATGCAATCATGACCTCATTTCCATGAAAATCAAGTTCCTGATCACTTTTTTTGTAGGGTGTCAAGTGTGTCTTAACATTAAATGAGCTTTTCCATGCTGAAACTCCAGCGATACTGATGAACCGACAATGAAAAGTGAATGCACACATCATACCCAAGTCAACTTTACTAACAAAAATCTGTATTTTTCATAAGACTATTGGAAGTTACGGATTAGCCATCAAGCTCTCATGATAAACTCAAAGCTTCAACTCATCGCACATTACCCGTGAAAACAGGTGGTGGTTACGTGTTATCGTCAACCTTTTACAAACGCGCAATGAAACGTTGATCCAAAAATACACCATCAAAAGAGCTTATGGAAAGAGAGATTCGCTGCTTATTTGTGCGATCTCAGCGCACCCTCCCATGCCTGCGCTGCCACTGAAGCCGGTAAAGCATCCTATGGTAGTTGTTTTCGCCAGTCATTGTGCTCAAAATCCAAAACGGAAGTCAGCAACGTTTGCGAGACCTAACTGCCCGACAACCAGATCCAAACATCGATTCATTTTTCAATTATTGCGATTGACCGCGATCATCTTTTCATTCGACAGTATATCCCTAACACCATGGTGTACTCCATTAGTCGTGCTGAAACACGAGTCTTGATCAAGACTGCGGTGGTGTGCACTCTTACTATGACCAATATTTCTTCCATCTTTGCACAAGATGCAAATTTTGTGACGTCCAACGTCTGTGGTATTTCTGATGGCGACATGAATGTTGGTATTCGAGCTGTTGAAGACGCATCGTGTATATCGGGAGGTCTTGGATGCTACAACTTCCATTGCCGCTTTTGCAAGATCCTCGAAACTCCTTTGTCTACATCCTTTCTGAACTGCTCAGATGTTGGTGCTGATTTGCCGACTATGGCTCCTCGAATTGCCTCTTCTGGTCCTTGTGAAGTATCTAGTGGTGACGCAGCAGTCGGCATCTCGGCATTTACGGACGAACAGTGTCTATTCGGTGGTTTAGGATGCTTTAATGATCACTGCCGTTTTTGTAAAGAGGAGGTAACATCTCAATCGGAGGCTTTTGTCAGCTGTCCAGTCGTCAGCACTACTGGTTCGGCATCTATAATGTCAGATGATTCTTCAAGTGCTTCCGGTACCGCTGACACGGTTGGCTGTACACTCCAGCCTCAAGTTGGCGACGTAGAAGTCGGCATTAGTATTGGTACAGATCCGACTTGTAGTGCCGGCGGTCTGGGTTGCATCAATAACGTGTGTCGATTTTGTCGCATCAGGACGACATTTAAATCCGCGACATATCCTGATTGTTCTTTTATTGGAATTAATGCGCCTCAACCTTCCGATGCGCCTCAAAATCCCGCTAATGCTTCGCGAACGACTGGGTCTTCAATTGTAAGGGACGACACCCCGACGGCAACGCCTTCCACTCTTGCCACCACAGATAGCCCCTCCTCTGATCCCACTGGTGCACTGACTGTCAAAACTACGGCTCCCGTTGCTTCTGCTTCATCTGATATTTCAATTGATTCTTCTGCTTCATCCGACATTTCAATTGATACTCCTACTGCGTCAGCAACGTCGACTGATGATTCTAATTCTACTGACGCATCGGCTGCTACTTCTGATTCACCGGCTGTTTCTACACTTGCACCAGTTACTTTGAATGCCCCTCGTGATGGCTCAGATGCACCGAATGCCACTTCTGAGGCTCCTCCTGACAGCACAGATGCACCGGCATCCTCAAACAGTGCTTCAACTGAGGCTCCTCCCGACACAACAGAAGCACCAACATCCTCAAACGGTGCCTTTAATCCTACTGCCGCTTCTGGCTCAAATGACGTTCCTTCTACTTTTACCAGCGCACCACCCGCAATCACGGAGTCTCCTTCCAACTTCACTGAAACTCCGCCTGCAAGTACCGAGAATCCTATTGATATTTCTGACACACCAACTGCGTCGTCTGACTCTCCAGCTTCCAATTCAACCACTCCGGCTCCGGTCACTGAAATTTGCACAGTTACGGCCTCTGTAGGCGATGCTGCTGTCGGAATCAACATTGTGTCAGATCCTTCATGTGTTTCTGGTGGTATTGGCTGCCTCACAAATGTTTGTCGGTTCTGCAAAGTGACGACCTCTCCTCAATCTGCCGCTTTTATTGATTGCGCCCATCTTGATATCGACCACTCGACATCGGATGCGCCGGATGCGAACTATTCAAGCTCTGATGATAGAGATCCTTCCACAGATGATGCTGACCCGTCGGATCATTTTAGCTCGACTGACGCCTCTCACGCGATAGCAGACGACTCAAATACCACCGATAAACCGATTGCGACTAGTGCCACTCCAAACATCACTACTGATATAAAAACGGTGACTCCGCCTAGTGAAACATGCAGTCAAACTGCATCGGATGGCGATGCCGCTGTTGGCATTAACATTGTCTCAGATAGTTCGTGTAGTGCCGGTGGGGTTGGCTGTATTGACGATATTTGTCGATTTTGCAAAGTTTTCCAGTCTTCAGAGTCTGCTGCCTTTATTGACTGTGCTTCGACAACCTCGACAAGCTCCGCCGCGGCGGATGCCATTGACAATGACTCTCCATCTCCAACCGAAGCTCCTGCGGATGATGTGACCGAGAGTCCAATAGACGATGCTACCTCAGACGTTACTGACGGAAATTCGATGGATGCATCAGCAGATTCAGATCAAGACGATGTTTCTGAGGCTCCTATTGAGGTTCCTACAAATTCGACCACGGCACCGTCCGATGCTTCTACCGATTTGTCGACGGAGTCTCCGACGCACGAGACATGCACTCAGATCGTTTCTGAAGGCGATGCTGCTGCCGGTATTAACATTGTGACGGACGCATCTTGCACATCTGGTGGAACTGGCTGCATTGATAGTATCTGTCGGTTTTGCAAGATCAGCGAGACTCCTCAGTCTGCTGCATTTGTTGATTGCTCTTCAATCACGAACGTCGAGACAGCAAAGGCAGCAACATCCGCTGAGACTTATACGCAGTCGATTGCATACAAAGCAGACATAAATGACTTGAAAAAGGGACAAATCGGCGCTATTGTCGCTGGTTGCATTGGTGCCATAGCCGCAATTGCCATCATGGTTCTTGCAGCCAAACGGTCATTAAACAGCAATACTGACTCGGATGACGAGGTGAGAGATGAAGCTGATAGCATCGAGATGGGCAAGCGTGTATCCCCTGGTACTGTGCCAGCTGACGATCCGGTTACTGCAGAGGCTAAATAATCATATTAACAAATTTCAAATTGAGTATTGCAATTTTTTGATCTGTTTTATTTTTGCCAATTATTGCCATTTGACCTAATAAATAACGCATTAATATTTAACTCGTCATATCTGCAGGTTGCGAGGCGCCGTCCACTGCCTCTCCACCGTTCGAATCCCTGATACTATAGAAAAGCTGACACAGATCGCCCGCAAATTTGTTGTTGTAGTATTGTGGTGCGAGCAATAGAAGTGTAAAAATCAAGCTTTAAAAACGCGCGTCAGCCAAGAAAAGATTTCTGTGGTCGCGTGCAAGTTCCCAGCGCCATTATGAACATGATGCGGGCCGCATCGTCACCTATGGAGCCTTTAAACAAGAATATTTTACTGGTATCAAGAGAGAAATCAAGAGAAAAACTCTTGATGAGTAGTGGGTTTTGTTATTAGTTTAATAATTACTATTGTTGTTATGGTATTCAGGCAGGTGAAGTGATTGCAGAAAAGTGGAAGATTGGCGAGAAGATTGGAGAGGTAGGAAAACGTTGTGATGTTCTCCGTCATTTTCACTTAACAAACGCTTAAATATTAGGGTACATTTAGCCAAATATACTCGGCGTATTCGATTGAGAGTCGAGATAAAGTTGCGGTCAAAGTTGAAGCGCCAAGCTCACTCAAACCCGTTCTAGAGTGGGAAAGTTTGATCTTAAAGAGTCTTCAAGACTGTCCATATGTGTGTCGATATTACTATCATGGGAAGCATGGAGACAGCACAGTGCTTGTGATGGAATTATTGGGAGATAGTATGTCAATGTTGAGAATGTCACCCGACTCAATTCACGGAGTACCGCTAGCCAAGGCAGTTTCGGTCGGACTCGAGATGCTGGATTGTATTGAAGCTTTTCACAAGCATGGCTACGTCCATCGAGATATAAAGGCCTCTAACTTTGCGCTAAACGCTCTTTCAGATCGAACGGCACAGAAGCAACAACGGTATTATATCATTGACTTTGGACTATCACGGCAGCATCTTGGAGAACAGCGACAGGTGGTTCCAGCGCGTCAAGTAGCCGAATTTCGAGGCACGTCCATGTATGCGTCGCTGAGCTCCCATCGACGACAAGAATTGGGTCCCAAAGATGATTTGTGGTCGTGGTTCTATCTCGTGATGGACTTTTTGCGCGGCGAATTGCCCTGGGCAGCAGATGCACAACTAAAGAACCGACAGACTGTATTACGTCTTAAAGAGCATTATACTGAAGCTAGTCCGAGTTTGTTGGTCGAAGGCCTACCAGGAGCGGTTCAGTTGCTGGAAATGATGGAGTATTTGCAGTCGCTTCGGTATGAAGACATTCCAGATTATAAACGTATCCGAAAGCAACTACAAGCCGTTGGAAAGAGCTCCTTGGTGATAGAGAATAGTGACAGTGGTGACGAAGAAGCGAGTGCCGACACGATTGAGGTAAAAGCATTGGCAGATGTTTCCACTTTGGATTGGGACGCGCTTTCATCTGAGCGTGAGCGAGCAATTCTCTGGGTTGAGAAGGCGGAACATTACAAGGACAATGATAGTGTGTCAGATATGTTGCTGAGCATTGCAATGCGATACAAGTCATTTTTTGACACTGAAAATTTGTCATTTGATGAGCAGATGCGAGTGCAGAATGCTATTTATCAAATTGAGAAAAAATCACGAGCTCGCACTAGTTTTTTTGCTCCTCCGCCCATTCAGAGCTTTGTGAAACGTCGTCAATCAGAGCAAAAATTGCGGTCGGATGCACTTCGCAAGCGCCGCGAGCGAGACTACCAAGTTCGACAATCACTGGAGATCAAACAGGAGCCACATCAGGCACAAGGTGTGCCAGGTTACAGTCCTAATGATGTCATGGGTGGAGATGGGATTACGACTACGAATAACTCTAATCAACCGGTGAAATCGGAGAGCTCGATGGAAATGTCGGACACTGAGAAAATGGGAACGCCCACCGTTCAGCGAAGTAACTCAGTTGTAGACGTCCCACCTATAGCACAGACGTACCATCAATCTCCTCATGTGATGACGACATCTTCGGGGCCCCCAGTTCAGCAATGGAGTCACAGCTCCCTAACTAGTGGATCGTTTCCCCCGCCACCAAAAAAAACAATACCAGCTCAATTTCATGGACCTTCTCCGTCACTTCCTCCACACCTTACAAGACGACGATTGTCGGATAAAGTAGATTATCCTCCGACGCAAAAACACGAGCTGAATGGTAAGCACCACAGAGTATCTAGTCACACCCCGCCCTCGCCGCCTCATAGAAGGGAACCTGAGCAAAGAGTGTCTATCAATACTCGGCGCTATGATGCGGCCGTGGATATGAAAGATAAAATCTCCTACAGCAATCAGAAATCCCGCCACACCGAGGATCATAACTCTGCAGGAAGGCACTTCAATTCAGAAAGTTGGGAGGATCGTGAATACGTCACTCAGAGACCATCTGTTTCAGAACGACACCATGATTCTGTAAATGAACCAAGGGAAGGTCGTGGATACAGCACTTATTCAAGACATAAGGATGAACGATTGGAGACGCGGGAGGGACGTGGGTACAGCACTTACCAACGCGCTCAAAAATCTCCACAAGAGATGCCCATAATTGGATCCAATCGATATTATTCTCCATCGATAGAGAACAAAGAAGACCGGGGATACAGTCGCCAACACTCTTCAGCTCCTCAGGTATCACGTCGTGAAAGTCACATCGAGTATTTAACGAAAGAAAGACATGGTCAGCAAGAACTCGAGCGCTATTACGAGACAAAGCGAACGCGCGCACGTTCGCGGTCACGCTCGCAACGTCGCGAAGTGAGTCATTCCAGGCGTCGCTCGTACTCATGGACGTCATCACGGTCTCGTTCTCGGTCTTACTCGTGTTCACCTTCGCGATCGCCATCTCCACATGTTTATCACCGTAGCCGCGAACACGATTCTCGCAGCAAGAGGGTAAGAACTAAGCGAGAATACTCACACCTACATCGCTCCCGATCTTGGAGCAGTTCAAGCTCTCGGTCACGGTCAAGTTCTCGCTCTTTTTCAACTTCTCCGCACGCGAAGCACTACCATCGACGATCGACAGACCAGAGTCAACTAAAGTCTTCGCATCGATACTCTTCGCATGCGACGGAGTATTCTGACCAGTCTAAAAGCTATGTGAACGAAATTCCAAAGGTTTACACCAAGAGTTACTCAAAGGAATATGTAAAGGATTATCCGAAAGAGTACGTGAAGGAGTATCCCAAAGAAGTTGCAGAGGAATATGCAAAGGAGCGTTACGTCAAAAAAGGCATGTACAACTCGACTAGCGGAAATGTTTACCATCATCATTCGTCTTCGTCGGAGCGACGACCTTTGCATTCTAGAGATCCTAAGTTTGCGAGATCTCCGTCGGAACGTCATCATGCAAATTACAGTCGAGATGACGAATCTTGGAGTGTGAATACTCGACATAAAGAAGTTTTGAATCCAGCGAAGCATCGTCGATCTACTCGATGGCAGCCGAGGTCATGAATGCGAGAAGGCATCACACCAGTTTTCCCAAATTACTGCTCTGGAAAATGTTAAGCTGCAAATAAAACTCTAAATAGTGTCTTATAACTTGAGTTTTATAATTTTTTCTGATTTTCTATTATATTCACTACGTTAAAAGGAAATTTCATTTCTGAGTTCATTCATCTTTCGGTTGGTCCAATGAGAAGTCAATGCGCAAATATTGCAACAATGAATGCGAATTTTGTACAATGCAAGTAGTTAAATCATTGAGAGCTTGACATTACTTAATGTCATTCGGAAATTTGTAATCAATTGTCCGCTTGCATCAATTAATACCGTTATCAATTGCAAAAATATTAATTAGCGAGTATCATGATTTTTTTTAATGTATAGTTCGAGACCTCTTGGCCATACTACTAAATGAATTTGCCTTGCAAGAGAGGCACACGATTCTATAGTCTATCCGACTGCTTCATGAGCATTTGCCTGGTAGAAATCAAATGCTATGAACTGCCCGTAATTCTACAAAAAAGGCGTCGTAGTGTTCATGCTGCAACACTATCCAAGCAGAAATACTCACTCAAAACGAACTGTTTGGAGCACTGCAAAAACGTATCTGCAACATCGACACCATTGAATCCCGCATGTAACTCATATTTGCAAGTATGTTTACTTTGATGTATAGTGTCACCCTGATCGCAAGTTTTTGAAGAAAATTCAGAACATTTTTTTGTAGAAATGCCTCAGACAAGTGAGCTTTCATAGCGCGTGACGGCTTTTTAGTTTCTCAATGCGCTATACGTAATCCTTTAACTTTTCTCACGAGCCACAGATGTGTTGCTTTCGATAGCCAACATCCTAGGAATACGTGGCACAAGGTTGAACCGATGAACAATGACAGCCCGTTTTCCATTCCTGTATTGACTTGCTCAAAGGTATCTCCACTATTTTCTATGCATACGTCTGACCTAATAAAATTAAGTTTTTCAAGGGTTAATTGAATTGTGTTGTTATCGAGTGTGAGTTATACTGTAAAATTTTGAGTGGAAGTCAACATTTCTTGGTCCCTACGTTTACAGTCAATACGAAATGTAATAGTTGTCTAGTCACTGCACCGTTTCACATGAAATATAAATAGGCAATCAAGTGGAGGGAGGCGTTAGCGAGGGGGTAAAGTCCTGATGGTCCCCAAATACCAGCTCACAATGATTAATCAATGTAAACCACGTTGGGATTTGAACCCGCGCCCAATCGATTAAAGCTCCCTTTCTAAACGACTGATCCAATCTGCGGTTTAGCTCAGCGTTGCAAATCACGAGTATTAATAAGCAAAAATGCAAACATGTACTCACAAGTTGTGGCTCATTACACTTCAACACTCTCCCTTGATGTCCACGCAGCTTGTCGCTTTATATATTTATGCCTTGAGCATCGACAAACTTGTACTACTTGTCACGCCAATGCTTTTGTCATCCCGTCAGCGATCATCTCCTGTATTCTAGTCGAATGATCGCATACTAGGTTTTCTTGCACAGATGTCATTGTGCTTCGTACGTGAAGTGTGAACCGGGTTTCTGGCTAGCGCAATACATCCTTTTTTATCTTAGTAGATTAGTGTGGCATCTTGTTCCTCGAATTCCATGTCTTCTAATAGCTCACGCACCCAAATCGTCTCTTGAGTTGCACTGTATCAACTCATGTACTCGTCCTCTGTACTCGAGATCGCTACTATTGGCCGCCTCTTGAACTATTATAAAATCGCGCTGCCATTCAGAAAGAACATCTAGCCGGTTGTCGAGCGTCGCGTATCCAAGTCGCATCCACTACTTATGTCCTCTACTTGATCGCGCCATTGAAACCAAGGTCCTGATCTTGAGGAGTCTTCAGATACTTCAGAATGCATTTCGCAGCCACCCAGTGACATTTTTTTGAAACGCTCACAAAATAGGCAACTTCACCCACTGCATGCACAATGTCCGGTGTGTGCATGTCGCCACATAATTCAGTGCACAAACCAGCTCTCTATACGTATACTTAACCGTTTCCTCTTTCGATGGCTTCACCAACTTTGATGTGCTGTCAGCCAAAGTATGCACGTTCTTGCACATGTCTACACTGAACTTCTCTGCAAGCCACTTGATATTCACTCAGACGATGCTTTAATCAGCTCTTAACTGGTAGGCGTAGACGCACAGGTCTGCATTAGAGCGCCTGAAACTCTGATATGTCTATTTTACTTGTTATAATATGTGCGTGCTGTCTGTAATGTGCCGTGAAAAGCCTGCTTTAGTAAGCACTTCATTCCGGGCCGGCTTGATTGTCAAAGCCATTTAATCTTCTCTTCTACATCACCATCGAATAAAACCGTATGGGCGTTTACATTCTCAGCTTCCGTATCATCTTCTGTGGTGTATACCAGCATAGTTTTGATGTACTCCTTCCGCGCAACTGGTGCAAATATCCCCGCGTAGTCAATACCGGGACGCGGTGTACAGCCCTTTGCTACCTATAATGTCTTGAATCTACGCTTTTGAAGCAAAGCACCCACCCGATAGCTTTCTTGGTCTTCGGCATCTTCACGATCTCACGTTTTGTGACTTCGTCTCGCTCTCCATAGCGTGAAGTCATTTTTTCTCGTTCTTGCTTCGCATTACTTCATCCTAAGACAGTCATTGTCGTCTTTGGCGTGAAGACAATGGTGTGAATCGCGGGTATCTCTAATGTCATATACATTAGCTACATGCCCGAATACTCGTCTTGATACAAGACCACTCCACGTCTTTTATGCTTCGATCACATCCTCCATTCCTGCGATGGGTACTTGACCCACGAGTTAGCACTGAGTAAGCTGGTTCGTTGTAATTACCTTGAGTTGGTTATCGCGCGGGTTTATTATTGGTTTACGAAAGCCTTCGTCGACTTCAGTATCCTCTGCGGTATTCTCAATCTCTTCGTTATTGACGACGTCAACCCCACCTTCGATTTTCGGCGATTCGAGCGACGGATACTCAGCAAAGGCTACATTTCAAGAGATATCGATCAATCCACCGGTAGCATTGATTATCAAATATCCCTTGTACTGATTAGCAAACCCAAAAAAGTAGCACATTACACCCGAATTATCGATGTGTGTAGCACTCATTTCCAAACACTTGCATGTGATCCAAACGCAGCTTCCCCTTAAACAATTCTTCGATTGGACTTGTGTGCGGGTTGGAATTACTGGGGAACACATACGCGGATGTCAACCACTGTCATGATCGCCTACAGCAGTAAGTTTCATTTGGATTGTTCCTTTAGCATGCTGCGTGTCAATTCTATCAGGTTCTGATTCATCAGACCCGCTAATGTGTTCTGTTGAGGATCTTAAGTCACATTAATCATTTCAATACATGCGCACGAACAAGCTGTATGCTAATGACGATAAGTGCATCTTCGACGCGAAATGTTTTGCTTGATCACCTTGGCATCAAAAACAGCAATCATTGCCATATTGTAACTCGAGCTACCGCTCTCGCTTTGCAACACCTTGATCTTCACCCCAGTAGCCATCTGAATTGTCTTGATGTATATTCAAACGCGTCTAAAACTTCGTTTTTCCTTTGCAACGGATACATTGTCACGTAACGAGTTTTCATAATGTTAAAAGTCATATTATACTTGAATCTTGGTGCTGTTGTGATCAGTCCGAGTACATCCGAGCACGCGATGCTGTCCGTGCGTCTGCAACCCTGGCTTTCAGTTTATCCTGGCCCAAATGATATGTTCTCTGCACTTGATTTGCTGTTGCACATACATAACAGATAAACCACTTGGATCTGGTATACAATTGATTCGTCCATCCGTGATCATGTAATTAGTGTGGTGAAAGATGCATGTCTCGGTCGCCGATGCTACAGCTTGATGTCATCTTCCACAACGGGGCGCTCGCTACCTCCGTCGATCTCGAGATACAGCAATTTACCATGCTTTTGACCAGTTGCTACAGAACCGTTTCCACAAATCACCACACGCCGGTCCTTTGTCATTGTGACTGTCATTCCACGCGCGGTTGCCGCTGTAAGTGAGAACAGAATATGTTCAAATCTTTTACGAGCAGCGCGTTTTTGAGACAAGCAATGGTCCACGAGCGTCAAGATCAGACTCGTAGCACCACCGTTTCTTAGCCGATAACTTTCAATGAGCATTAATCTTTGCGCTTGATACAAGATGTGAGGTCTTCATCTGCATGCAGTCTTAAAAAATCGCCTGACTTGCACAAGTGTGTTGAAGCTCCACTATCCATGACTCAGCTCTCGCTCGCAGAATCAATGCTACAGTTGTCTAGTATTGAGATTCCTTATTTATCTTGCCTTTGAATAGCGGTCTCATGCGTAGTGGCCCCACCATGCTGCAATTAGAGCACGACTCTGATGGCATCGTTTTGCGGCATACTTGCTTCTTCTTCTTTCGCTGCTTTTCTTTGCTCTTGCTGATAGTTAGCATATACATTTCTTCAATGTGCGTAGAATCTTTCTGCCGTATCACCTCTACAATTCAGATTGTTAACAAGGGCTGCGAGCTTGAACCTCTGTACTGACATGCGAAATGCTTGCACCAGGCTCTCATAGCTTACTGGCACCCCTCGTAGCATTGCCACAAAGACGTCTTCCTTACTTGGCTAACAGCCCGCGTAATTCATCACCATCATGAACTTCATCAACTCTGTCACGCGCTCACTGACAGGGAATGCCGTGAACCTGAGTGTTTAGAATATCTCCATGAGACACGAGCAATTCGCCATTTCATGCGTCTTGTGCAACGTCTTCAACGTAACCCAAGCCTTTTTTGCGATGGAAATTGTCAGTTCGTGCATCTGCTGTGAGTCGCTTTGATTGAGAACAATTGCTGCATGCGCTTGCTGCTCCTTCACGTTGAATACTCGGTTCTCACTCTCGACTGCCTCCGACAGTCTTTTCGACATCAGGTGCATCTTCATCTGGTAATTCCACAGAAAGTAGTTGGAGCCGTCAAAAGGCTCGATTTTGTACTTGGTGTCGTTTTCTGGGCTCACAACCTAATAAATTATTTTTTTGATTGAGTTGTGTTGTTATCGAAGTGTTGAAACAAAGAGTGAGCTATATCAGCAAATTTATGAGTTGTAACTGTAAGTCATCATTGTTTCTCTCCTTCGTCCCTAAGTTTACAGTTATTACGAATAGCAATAGCTGGCTAGTCACTGCATCGCTTTACATGCAATATAAATAGGCAAATCCGTGGAAGGAGACATCACAAGGGAGAAGACAACCCCTGGCGAGCCTCAAACACCAGTTCATAATGATTCGTTCCAATTAACTTTTTCAAGTTAGGAACTAAACTACCCCCCCTATAAACGACTTAGTCAATCTGCGGCCTAGCTCAGCGTTGCAAGTCGTAAGTATCAATACGCACAGAAACATACACTCACAAGTTGTGGCAGATCACACTTCAACACGTCCTTACAAAAATAAACGGTATATATATTACCAGGTCTTAGAGTGCAAGGTTAATGCCATGTAGGTGTCACCTATCAATGCTATGGACACTTAAGGCAAATATTCTTCTATATGTCGACACTCTATTGTGCATATATTTGAAGAAAGCATGACCATTGCTTCATCTGGGGTTGGTGCTTGCTTCAAAAGCCACGCAAAAGATGTTAAGAGTGTAAAGTAACGAATACATTTGTGTTGAAATAGGTCTGTGCGTATACGCGTGTATACATTTCTAAGACTATTTCTTACCATCAAGATTTTTCTTAATTTCTAACAATAAATGTCTTGAATAAGCTCTAATTTTTGAAAAATTAATAAGCAAAGATAACGAAGCTGGACCCAAAATGCTAAGGTAATATCATACATCGACGATTTTTTTTATTTGATTATGACATTTAATCTGAGCCAGATCGTTTTGAAAAATCACTTGATTTTATACAAAAAGGATACCTTGCTCATTTTAATCTAACCCATAGATGAAAAACAGTTAAATCCTGGTTATGGTGTAGGTTACAGGATGATTAATTCACAGGTTCGTGTACGCACAAGATCTACTTCCTGAGCTCCAAATATGCCAATACTTCCTCATCTTCATGCGAAGTGCTCGCTCCTACATACAGATCTGTCGCGCCATACATTGGCGTGGCCATTTCTCGAGCCTGTAGATCCTGTAGCACTCAATGTGCCAACATATTTTGATGTCATATCACAGCCAATGGATCTGCGCACCATGGGCGCCAAATTAACCGCAGGCGAGTACAACGATCCGACTGAATACCGCGCCGATCTGCTGCTTATGTTTGCTAATGCTATTGAGTTTAATCAAGACGACCAGCGTGCTGACTCGGTGGCCAACATAGCACGGCAGTTTCAGGATGTAGCACTCGCTCAGTGGGATCAAATGTTCTCAGAGGCAGCAACGGCCGACTGGGCACTCATGGCGCAACACCAGACACAACAACGCTTTATTCAAAGGGCTAAAGATGCTCGGATTTTACAGAGATGGAAACGTGATTCGTTTGTCGCTAGATTTAATCGAGACAAATTGGACGAACGTACACGTCTTGCCTCTAATTGCGAATAGGAATTTCCACACGATATCACGTAATGATATTCTATCTACTCTATGTGCTTTAATTGTCGATATCCGTTATTCTAATTATTTCAGACAATCAGTTCATTTTGCTGCGACTATTCAAGATGCCACGATGGCAAAGTCAAAGCAATTCAAAAGCGCAGAGACGGAACTCAATATATGACTTGACGCTAGATGCAGCATTTGAGTTTGATGGTGGATCAGGATTTGGCAGTACATTGCCATCAAATAAACCCATGAAGGCAATTGAGGGAGCAAGAGCTGCAATGACGTCTCCTTTAAATGTCAAGAAAGATGCAAGACACGCATTTTCGTTCACAACCGCCGAAGTTTACACATCACCGAAGAAGATTCCAGTGTTCCCAGGGACATTACATAGCCCAGAAGTGAAAAGGCAAAAACCTCGAGTCAAGCCACCGCGATTGTCGTCAACGGTGAAAACGGGAGGTGAATCGTTGTCTATTCCGAGTGGACCTTCAAAACTTGGAGGAAGTGGAAGATCGATGCGAGAACCATCCCCTCGACCATTTCTTCGGGCAATGCTTAGTCGGTCCTTTGGTCATGAGGAGAACAAATCTACTTTGAACCAACAAGAAAGTCGTCCGTTTATCGTTATAAATCGCTTTGATTCTGCAAGCGGAGGGGATGATGCGTCTGCTGAGACTACTGCTACTTTGACGACAGCGATTCTTAAGACCGGAGAAGATGCAATCACATTTTTCGCGCGCAATGGCTCGCACAATGAACAAAAATTTGTATACTTGAATCGCGTTCAGACAAAGCGAACATTTCGGCCGTACGATCTTGTTGTGGTTGCACAGGACGACGTGGCGCCAAGCGAGCACTTTACTATGTCAAAAAGTGGACTTGTACACATTTGTGCTGGTAGCCCCTCTGAATTCATTGCACTGGCAGAATGGATGCGTGAATCAACCCTTTTCAACCTATTGACGTCACTTCGCTTCTTTAAACACTATCTCGTGACCAAAACATTCTTGCTTTGGTGTGCTAATATTCGATTCAAACTTTTCTGTCGTCAACGAAAGCGTTTGAGTGCAAAATTGTTTCTGGCAAGGGAAAGCTTTTGCTCCCCTTTGCTACAAGTGAACAAAGTATTGAATACCGAGTTAATGAGTGTTGTTTTACTCGACGTGCGCGCTCAAAAAACGTACGAAAGCGGAGCATTTGTTGAGTATCAAGGAACGATTCGTGCCGAAGGGTTAAAGCAATTTGAAGTGTGTATTGAAAAATTGCAGTCAATCATTCAACGCGTATGCTCAGACGTTAAGAAACTTACCGAGCCGACACCTTCCGAAGATAATGTTATGTCTGAGTTTTCTTTTAAAGGGATGGGAGTAAATCAAGACAAAACCAAATCGATTGTAGCTGCTAAAGCTGAACAGCAGCAGAGACGTAAACTCGCTCGTCGAGCTGTTGAGGAAGCTGGAATGATTACAAATTTTATTCGGCTTGTCGATTGTATCACTATTGCAAGTCTGGTGAATCTTGCTGTACATAGCTGTGCTACCTTTTTGCAAGAATTGAATAAAGTTCCTCGCAAGACTGGCCTTTTTGAAACGACAGTATTCTTTAGAGAACGGTTGACACTATTTGCGCCGACGAGCGAGCAGATTCAGCTCCTCGTTCTTGCAATGACGGACGATATTGTAAGCACAGTTAGCTCAGTTTCGCGTGTGCTTTACCTTCGGCCATTTGCACCGTATGTTGGCAACGTATTGGCTGACGCTTTTCACTTAGGATCAATGATCACAAGCAATGCAACGTTTAAACAAATACGAAAGGAATTGGTTGATAAAGTTGAAAACGACTACGCTGAAGCTTCGGAATACGTTAAGAGTTTTGATAGTGTGAGGCCAATCTTCGAGTTTGATCAAGGGTGGGATCTCGAGGAATATTCACAGAGAGCGCACACTGTTAGCACATTAAAAGCTGACATGCAGCAGATTAGTACATGGGAAAAAGAGCTGGAGAAGATGCGAGCGGGGCAGACAGTTGGCATCTTACATGTGGAGAGTCGCAAGCTTAAGCAGGCGCTGATTCCCATGACGACCGCCAAGCTAGACGCCATGAAGAGCTTGGTCAAGGACCTAGCACGCGCACGATGCAAATCTCAGCTTGCTGAATATAAGCAGCGCATTCAATTGCTGCTTCAGCGACCGCAGCATCTTAAAGAATTCGCTGGGTATGTAGAGCGTGTGCAGAGTCTAAAAAGCAAGCTCAAATCCCTTGTCAAATCCACTGTTGTTGTGGACGATATGTACCGACTTTTAAATACTTATGGCGTACGCATTTCATCGGAAGACATGGTTCAATTTGATGACCTACGTAGTATTCAAGAAAATTACAAGGAAGAGACGGAAGCTGTTGACACATTTGTTGCCAGTCGAATAGGCGAGATGACTCAGCAATTAGATGCTAACATCTATCGCGTAAACGAACAAGTGCTTCAGCTGCACCATCAGTTGCAAGGAGGTTTGTATATCGATGCAAGTCATGTCGAGGACCCTTCTTTTGTAAAAAGTGAGCTAGAAATCGTGAGACAGCGTCTTGCTCAACTGGATGAACTATCGAAGCAATATACGGAGTACCAATTATTGTTCGATCTTACTCCATTTGAGTACTCGAACCTGCAGGCGACTCATGAGTACTTCACGAATGTGGATTCACTCTGGACGGCTGTGGAGAAGTGGAAAGAGTTGTACCGAGAAGCTATGACCCGATCCTTTGTTGAGATTAATGCCGAAAATTTATCGAAGGACGTCGCTGTTGCCTATAAAAATGCCCATGAGCTACATAAGAAACTAAACAATGACGCTACGGCGGTGCTGAAAGAACGCACAGCGAACTTTAAGCTCAAATTGCCCACTATACTTGATTTGGGTAATCTATCAATGAAAGATCGGCACTGGGAAAAACTTTTTAAGGTACTGCGGCAACCGTGGTATCCTGGTCTTCCATTTACATTAGAAAATCTTGTGGCTTACGACATATTTGACATGAAAGAGTTGGTTGGAGAGATATCAGCAACAGCTTCGGGAGAAGCTCAAATTGAGGCATCGCTGCAAAAAATTAAATATGGCTGGGAGCAAATGGAGTTTACGTGCGTGAACCATCGTGATCAAAGTGATGTGTTCATTCTAGGTAGTCTAGAAGACGTGTTGACATTGCTTGAAGATGATCAGGTCAGTCTTCAGACGATGATGGGATCGCGATATATTCTTGGTGTTAAAGAAGAAGTCGAACGATGGAGCAAGCGCTTGTCATTGCTGTCAGAAACATTAGATGAATGGATAGCATGTCAGCGCAGCTGGATGTACCTGGAAACGATATTTTGTGCCGATGATATACAAAAGCAGCTGCCTGTCGAGGCACAAAAGTTCGCTCTTGTTGACAAGAATTGGAGAACGAGAATGCTCCGAATCAAACACAGTCCAAATGTCATTAAATCGGTCGACGCTGGTTCGGAGTATTTAGACCAGTTTCGTGCGTCAAACAAGGTACTGGAAGAGATTCAAAAGTCGCTGGAAGACTACTTAGAGACCAAGCGTATGACATTCCCGCGCTTTTACTTTCTTTCAAATGACGAGCTTTTAGAAATTCTGTCTCAGACGCGTGATCCACGTGCTGTCCAGCCGCATTTGGGCAAGTGTTTTGATGCTATGAAGAGTGTACAGTTTGATGACACATCTGGTTCGGCTCGTAATCTTGTTCAAGCAATGGTCAGTGGCGAAGGTGAGTTGGTTCTGTTTTCTACGCCAGTAAAAGCAAAGGGTCCTGTCGAATCGTGGCTTTCCGACGTGGAGAAAGCAATGCGAACAAGCCTTTACGAGGACGGTGTGAAAGCGTTAATGAATTATCCTGTCGAGGATGCCATCGACCGTCAAGATTGGCTATTTGGGTACGCGGCCCAGATGATCATCTTGGTGGATCAGGTCTTTTGGACACGTAATGTTACGGAGGCGATTGTGCAAGTAGAGAACGGCACTGATATCCATGCTGTCGATAGCTTTCTTCAGTTTAGCTTGAAGCAGATTGATGGGATGGTACAGCTTGTTCGTGGATCCTTGACGAAGCTTCAACGCATTTTAATGGGTGCTGTCATCACTATTGATGTGCACGCCCGAGATGTGGTACGCTCATTAGCGGAGAGCAAAGTGGCATCGCTCAGTGACTTTGAATGGACTCGACAGCTTCGATATTACTGGGAAGACGATGTAAAGAACTTCGTTGCGCGTCAAACCAACACTCGCTTTATATATGGCTACGAATATTTAGGGAATTCGCCGAGACTCGTAATCACCCCGTTGACGGACATTTGCTACATGACACTGACAGGAGCGCTACATCTACGCCTTGGTGGCGCTCCTGCTGGCCCAGCTGGTACCGGCAAGACTGAAACCACCAAAGATCTGGCAAAAGCGTTGGCAGTTCAGTGCGTCGTATTTAATTGCTCGGATGGATTGGATTTCAAGATCATGGGGCGCTTTTTTTCTGGCCTTGCACAAGCGGGTGCATGGGCTTGCTTTGACGAATTTAACCGAATTGATATTGAGGTATTATCTGTGATTGCACAGCAAGTACTTTGCATTCAGCAGGCGATTGTGGCTGATCTGAACGAGTTTGAATTCGAAGGAAGTCTTATTAAGCTGAATACTGGATTTGGCGTTTTCATCACGATGAACCCTGGGTACGCCGGTCGTACAGAGCTACCAGACAACTTGAAAGCGCTTTTTCGCCCTGTTGCGATGATGGTGCCGGATTATCGGCTTATTGCCGAAATTGTGCTTTTTTCTGAGGGATTTGCAAATGCATTGCCGCTTTCTCACAAGATGACGCAACTTTATTCGCTCTCTAGTGAACAGTTATCGAAACAAGACCATTATGATTTTGGAATGCGTGCAGTTAAGTCTGTTCTTGTTGCTGCTGGTCAGTTAAAGCGCAAGGAACCAGATATGCAGGAGGAATTACTTCTTATTCGAGCAATGCGCGATAGTAATGTCCCGAAGTTTCTTGAGCAGGATCTCCCGCTCTTTCGTGGTATCATTGCGGATCTCTTTCCAGGCGTGGTGGTACCGTTCGTTGACTATGGACTGCTTCAAGAATCCATTGAACAGCAACTGGACCTGCTGCACTTGCAGCGAGTGCCTTCGTTCATCTCTAAAGCCATTCAGGTACACGAAACTCAACTTGTGCGGCATGGTATGATGCTTGTGGGTGAAGCTGGAAGCGGAAAAAGTACCAACTGCGATGTCCTAGCGCGAGCACTTACTCAACTGTATCAGGATGGAGTTGTCGATCGCGATGGTTATTACAAAGAGGTACAGCGGCTTATACTGAACCCGAAATCAATTACAGCAGGGCAGCTTTATGGCGAGTTCAATCACCTCACCAATGAGTGGACAGACGGTCTTGTGCCGAAATTAGTTCGACAGTGTGTACAGGAAGCAGCCGAGTCGGATCGTCGAAACTGGGTTATCTTTGACGGCCCAGTGGATGCTGTCTGGATTGAGAACATGAATACGGTGCTAGATGACAACAAGACGCTATGTCTTTCAAACAGCGAGCGAATCAAGCTGCCACAAACGCTGCATATGATGTTTGAAGTACAAGATCTACGCGTGGCATCACCGGCAACAGTGAGTCGCTGTGGAATGGTGTACATGGAGCAAGTTCACGTTGGGATGACATCATTAGCACGTACTTGGCGAGCTACGACACTGAAGCTTCTTCTGCCTAAACATCCGGAGCTGTGCAACCTATTGCTGGAACTAATTGAGACCAATGTTCCGGTTGCGATTGCATTTGTGCGTGAAAATTGCCACGAAAAAATACCCAGCAACGATCACAATCTCATGCAGAGCTGCTTAAATCTTCTAGCCTCTTGTTTGGACAAAGGTGCGCGATTCGATGCGAACGCGAACAATATGGCGGTACTAGTGCGCATGTATTTTGTATTTGCAGTGACTTGGTCTGTGGGCGCTAATATCGACGATACCTCGCGCCCCAAATTTAATGATTTTTGCATGCGTCAATTTGGCTCGTTGATCGACAGTAGTCAAGATGGAGTACAGACTAGAAGTGTGTACGAAGTGGTTGTTGATGATACGACCGGCAAATGGGTTTCCTGGGCTGATAAGACACCAGCATTTACATTTGTGCCTGATGCCTCGTACTTTACTATGGTCGTTCCGACACAAGACACGACTTGCTTCAGATTTCTTCTCGAGAAACTCATGCTTGCAAATTATCACGTGCTTTATAGCGGTGAGACTGGAGTAGGGAAGTCGGTTGTTGTACAATCGTTTTTGGACGAGAAAGCCAAGACTGACAACTGTTTGACGTCAACTATGAGCTATTCTGCTCAAACAAAGCCTCGCAACTTGAACGAAGTGTTTGAGCTTCGGCTAGACAAGAAGCGTAAAAATGTTCTTGGGACACCAGAAGGAAAGCGCATGCTTTTTTTTGTAGATGACCTGAACATGCCAGCACTCGAAATTTACGGAGCACAGCCACCAAATGAGTTGCTGCGGCAAATCATTGATCAAGGCGGGTACTACGACACCTCGAAACTGTTTTACAAAAATGTTGAAAATGTGGTCTTTGCAGCAGCATGTGCACCTCCTGGCGGTGGTCGCACCGAGGTGAACCCTCGTTTGCTGCGCCACTTTCACATGGTCTGGATTTCCAATCTTTCAACTGAAGTTATGCAACGCATATTCTCATCTATATTAGGAGGCTTTTTCGGTGCCGAGCTACCAGTGATGACTCATTTGGCCGTCCCCATTGTTGATGCCTCCGTGGAGCTATACCAACAGGTAGAGGTTGAGATGTTACCGACACCGTCGAGATCACACTACACTTTTAATCTTCGGGATCTTTCTAAGGTCTTCCAAGGTATATTAATGGTGAAACAAGAAAATGTACCGACAGAAGATGATCTGCTAACGCTTTGGTTGCATGAGGAGACTCGTGTCTTTCGCGATCGTCTCGTTGATACAAATGATCGTACTTGGTTTAATGTGACTTGTTCACAACTTTTGGCGAAGAAATTTAATGTGACATGGCCACCTTCACGCTTTGAAAACCTCTTGTACGGTGACTTCATGGCGCGTGAAATCCGTAGCTATCGACGTATTGAAAATATGAGACAGCTTAACTCACTGCTCTCAGAGTACTTGGATGATTACAACATCACATTTCCGAGTCAAATGCACCTGGTATTTTTTAATGACGCTATACACCACATTTTGCGGATTTGTCGTGTGTTACGACAACCACGTGGTAATGCTTTACTTGTTGGTATTGGAGGCTCAGGTCGCCAAAGTTTAACACGTCTCGCATCGTTCATTGCGGACTACAAATGCTTCTCAATTGAGATAACTCGAGGCTATGGTATGAATGAGTTTCACGGAGATCTCAAGAACGTTTTGATGACTGCAGGCGCATATAACACACCAGTCGTCCTCCTCTTTTCTGATACGCAAATAGTTAATGAGTCATTTCTTGAAGACATTAATAACATACTCAATACTGGGGAGGTACCAAACCTGTACGCGAATGATGAAATAGAAAAAATTGTGGGCCTCGTTCGCCCATTAGCCCAACAAGTCGGAAAGGTTTCTCGTGAAGACGTTTTGCAGTATTATGTGACGCTTGTGCGGGATAACTTGCACGTTGTTCTAGCCTTTTCTCCCATCGGTGCCGGCTTTCGCAATCGATGTCGAATGTTCCCTTCGCTTGTTAATTGCTGCACGATCGACTGGTTTAATGCGTGGCCCGAAGACGCGCTTCATTCTGTGGCCCATCGCGTATTTTCTTCGAATGCTGATGAACTTGGAATTGAGCATCACGTTGAAACACTATGCCGAACTGCTGTGATGATCCACCGTAGTGTGGAGGAAGCCACGCTTCAGTTCTACAAACAGCTAAAACGACAAAACTACACAACACCGACAAGCTACTTGGAACTCATCCGTTTATACGTAGATATGTTACGTACGCATCGCCAACTTGTGCGTGCAAAGGAGGCACGTTACCGTGGTGGTCTACAGAAGCTTACAGAAACAGAAGAGGTGGTTGGAAATTTGCAGAGCTCGCTGACAGAACTGCAGCCAGTGCTCGCACAAGCTCAAAACGACACTTTGTTGCTACTCAACCAAGTGGCTCAGGATCAGGCCGAAGCTGACAAGCAGCAACAGCTCATTCAAGCTGATGTGGAAGCTGCGAATAAGATTGCTGCCGAAGTGAAAGTGATCAAAGATGACTGTCAAAAAGACTTGGACGAAGCCATGCCGGCATATTATGCGTCAATTCGGGCTTTATCACAGCTGAAAAAGGATGATATCACGGTGCTTAAGACCTTTACAAATCCTCCGAGACTAGTGGGCGTGACAATGAATGCTGTGTGCTTGCTTTTTGGAGTCAAACAAGAATGGAATGAAGCCAAGAAGCTCCTGAATGACATGAAATTCCTTGAGAGACTAAAAGAGTTTGACAAGGATAATATACCTTCCAAAACTATTCGACAGCTTCAAAAATTCATTTCCGATGAAGAATTTACGCCTGAGACGTTAAGCAGCATTTCGACTGCAGCTACATCTCTCTGTATGTGGGTACGCGCAATGTACACTTACGATACAGTCGCCAAGAATATTGAGCCAAAAAAGGAGAATCTTAAGATCGCCGAGCAGAGACTTGAAGTAGAACAAAAGCAGCTCAACGTCAAACAGAATGGGCTGAACGCAGTACTTAAAAAGGTTGCGGATCTGAAGCACATTTTGGAAATAACGCAACAAAAACGAGTAGACTTGGAGATGCAGTCGGAAAAAACACAGGCGCAGCTTCTACGTGCTGAACGTTTGATTGACTCGCTTGGTGAAGAGCAAGGTCGCTGGAAAGATTGCGCTGAACATCTTGCCAGTGATATGATTAACCTTGTTGGTGACATAATTATATCTGTCGGATGCATTGCGTATCTCGGACCATTCACATCTGAATTCCGTCATGAGCTTCAAGCCAAATGGGTCTCATTTTGTAAAAGTAGTCATTTACCGGTTGATGAAAACTTTTCCTTTCAGCGGGTCCAGGCAGATCCCGTTGTAGTCCGCGAGTGGAATATTATGGGGCTGCCTGCCGATACTTTTTCAATCGAAAATGGTTTGTTTACAACGATGGGACGGCGCTGGCCGCTCATGATCGATCCACAGGGACAAGGCAATAAATGGATCAAAAACATGTACAAAGCATCAGGATCGTTGCAGATAATAAAGCTAACGCAAAAAGATTTTCTGCGCACATTAGAAAATGCCATTCGATACGGCTCTCCTGTGATGCTCGAAAATGTAGAAGAGGGTCTCGATCCGTCGCTTGAACCTGTGTTACTCAAGCAGACGTTTAAGCGGGGTGGGCAAAATCTTCTTCATCTTGGTGATACTGACGTGCCGTACAGCGACAACTTCCGCTTCTTTATCACCACAAAATTGGCAAATCCTCACTACATGCCCGAAGTTTGTGTCAAAGTAACCATCATTAACTTTACTGTCACACTAACGGGTCTCGAGGACCAATTGCTTGTTGATGTCGTTCGAAACGAACGACCTGATCTTGAGCTTAAAAAGAACGAGCTGACTGTGAAAATCGCTGCGGACAAAAAGCAACTTAAAGAGATCGAAGATAAGATCTTGCACATGCTTGAGAACTCTGAGGGAAATATTCTCGATGATGAAGAGCTGATAAACACGCTAGCCCATAGCAAAGTTACCTCGTCGGCGATTAAAACACGCATGTCGGAGGCTGAAACGACGTCCTTGGAGATCGACCAGACGCGCGAAGGATACCGATGTGTCGCAGTGCGTGGCTCCATCATATATTTTGTAATTGCTAACCTCGCACTTGTGGATCCCATGTACCAATACTCGTTGCACTTCTACCAGAAGCTCTTTGTCACACGGTTGCAAAACACGGCGAGGTCGGAAGTTCTGGAAAAGCGCTTAGAAATCCTTATGCAGGACATTACAACAACTATGTTTGTCAATATTTGTCGTGGGCTATTTGAAAAGGACAAAATAACTTACGCATTCATGATAGCAGCAAGTATCCTCCTACATCGCGGTACAATTTCACCGTCTGAATGGTCTTTTTACCTTGTCGGAGACAAAAGAAGCTCCGCATTACAAGGCGCACAAATGGAATCATGTGGGCTCTCACGTCCGTCGTGGCTGCCAGACCGTATATGGAAGACTGTCGTTGGTATGAAAAATATCTCGTCTGCGTTTACAGATCTGGCCACATCGGTAGAACAACAAGAGGCCGAGTGGAGACGTGCCATGTCGTCAGCCGATCCACATGCTGAAGCTCTTCCGGAGCCTTGGGAATCCAGTCTTGCGAACTTTCAGAAGTTGCTGGTGCTGCGCGTCTTTCGAGAAGAAAAAATAGTCTTTGGTACTCGCGAGTTCGTCAGGCGTGAGCTGGGAAACATTTTCACAGAGTCTCCTCCCTTCGACTTGGCTGGCTGTTATCGAGACTCGAGGCCGGAGACACCTTTGATATTTGTGCTGTCGCCTGGCGCTGATATCAATGATTACCTACTCGAACTCGCAAAACAAGAAGGGAAGGAGGGGTCTGGTCTAAAAATTATCTCAATGGGTCAAGGTCAGGGGCCTATAGCTGAAGCGCTAATGAAACAAGCCATGCAAGCCGGTGATTGGGTGTGTTTGCAAAATTGTCATTTGGCTGCCTCATGGCTTGGTCGACTCGAGCAGATCTTGGATTCAATGGTGATGGATGAAATGCATGATAGCTTTCGCTTGTGGCTCACAAGTATGCCAAGTCCACGATTTCCTGTGCCTATTCTACAAAATGGCATAAAAATTACAAACGAGCCACCGAGAGGAATCAAAGCGAATTTGGGACGTACGTTTCGCGATATCAAAGAAGCCGATTACGAGGCTTGCACAAAACCACGTGAGTACAAAAAGCTGTTGTTTGCTCTTGCATTTTACAATGCAGTGTGTCTGGAGCGACGCAAGTTCGGCGCGGTCGGGTGGAATATACCTTACGAGTGGATGAATAGTGACTTGAAGACGGGCATGCAACAGGTAAGGCTGTATCTTGAGGAACAGGAAGAGGTTCCATACTCGACGCTCAATGTCATGGTGGCGGACATTTCTTACGGCGGGCGAATTACGGATCGATGGGATAAGCGCACAAACTCGAGTATCATGCGTAAACTCTTTTGCAAAGACGTTATGGACAATTCATACCGATTCACGACCTCTGATTTTTATTACGCGCCACCGGAAGGATCTCTAGCTAGTGTTCGAGAATATGTTAGCTCGCTACCAACTACAGATGCGCCGGATATTTTTGGTCTTCATGCTAACGCCGACATCACTTTTCAGCAAAAGGAAACAGGTTTGCTGCTTGGCACAATCCTAAAGATGTTGGGTGGTGGTGGTGATAGCGGTGATAGCGGAGGATCACAGAGCAACGACAGTATTGTAATAGAAATAGTAACAGTGATACAAGAGCGAATGCCTGAGCCATTCTCGAAAAACATGGCCCACCCAGTAACGTTCGCAGAGGCAGCTGATGGCAGTCGCAACTCACTGGGGATCTTTCTCTCGCAAGAAATGATTCGCTTTAATGTGCTGACTCAGGTCATAAACTCCACGCTTGAGATGCTGAAGCGCGCTATCAAAGGGCTTGTAGTCATGTCAGGACCACTTGAAAAAATGTACAACGGATTTTTACTGCAGCAGATTCCCAGCGAATGGGAGAACGCCGGCTACCCGTGCTTGAAACCGTTGGCCTCATGGATTGAAGATTTCTTCATGCGAATTAATCTAACAAACAACTGGCTGGTAAATGGGCCACCAAATGCTTTTTGGTTGCCAGGCTTCTTCTTCCCTCAGGGTTTCATGACAGCCATTAAACAGTCATTCTCGCGCGATAGGCAGATCGCAATCGATGCCCTCGTCGTCTCGTGCGAAATTATGGCTCACGACAGAGAACATTATAGCGCTCCACCGCCTTTTGGCGTGTACATTTTTGGACTTTTCATGGAGGGTGCGCGATACGACAGAACCACTGGAACGATAGCGGAATCTGTTCCCAATGAGCTGTTTGATCGCATGCCAGTCATCTGGCTCAAGCCAATGCGACGAGAAGAGTACCAGCCTACAGACGTGTACGAATGTCCTCTTTATAAAACCTCGATTCGCGCCGGCACATTATCGACTACCGGCCACTCCACCAATTTCGTTGTTTCCCTCAACGTCCCGACAGACAAAAGTCCTGATCACTGGATCCGTCGCGGCTGCGCAATGCTTTGCATGTTGGACACCTAATTGCACTGATAAAGGAGCGAAGCTGTATACTATTATTGATTTTTTTCAGCCCTTTGCTTCTTCCAAATTGCAATTTCTTGGTTTGCACGCACGCGCTCGTCCGCTGACATAGCGTAAAAACTTTGTTTGGTCTCTCGTTCCCACTAACAAAAATCAAATTAAGGTTGTATACACACGAAAGACATCAACAGTCATTTTTACCTGTTTGACATCTCGCACGGAATGGTGTGGTGGCTCGTACGTATGCTTGGTCTTAAATTTCTTATTATGTTGTTTCAGTAGCTCATGCACATTTTTCACATCTGCGGTAGGAGCCGCTCGCTTTCTGCCCAAGTTGGGTCTATTTCCTACGTCCATCAGCGGTCTCCTGTTTCGCGGAGAAGATGCAGTCACTGTCTTAAGTTCAACTTTGGTCTTGTGTAGTTTGAATGGCTCTTGTGTTGCACGCATTTCTTTTAAACTCGTAAACTTGTTTCTCTTTTTCTGCTGAAGTTGCTTGTTCCTTTCAGCAACGATCTCACGCCAGTCTGCTGGTTGTTGATTTTCCTTGTTCGCACTCCATTTGTGGTCGCGTCGTTGATTTCCCTGATTTTTAACTGAATCTTTCCCTTTCTGCTCCTTATTCTGCAGCTTGCGGATGTTTTCTGCGAGCTCTCTTGCTAATTCCGCACTGGGTTTGCTATGTTGTATGTGCAATTGGTCGAACCAAGGGTCGTGCGCACCCGCGGGAAACGGAGACAAGGGCGCGCTGAGGTCTATAAAAGTCTGTGGGGCATCAAACTCGAATAGCGGGTCGATTGAAGACGACATGGACCAGCGAGATCGCGACATGAGTGCGGAAGGAAGATATTTGCGCGGCAAAAATGTGTGTACAATGATGTGCTCAACGAATTGTGGGTAAGAAAGCATGTTTGTGGCATAATATTTTTTGGCTGCTTTTTACTATACAGGATGGCAGTTCAATACGTGGGACATTTTTTGTCAGCAGCTCTAAGTCTCACCATCACCGTCTACTTCATGGTCATTATAGCACTAGGTTCATGCCCTTAGGTTTCCATCGGACGCTCAGAAGTACCATAGCACTGACACGAATGCGGAAATCAGGACTCCATGCATTGAATAGGATTTCATCAAGTTGAGAAGTCTTTAGCTGCATTCTTAAATCAAAAATATGATACTTGAACAGATTACAAAATTCATACTCCATCGTAGCTAGACTGTTTTTTATACAAGCTGTCTTTGGTCTTCGACGACAAAGCGTTCGCCTTAATGCATGATGCTACTAAATCTATCAGAACAATTACGGCTTCCCAAAGCCGAAGCGGCTAACATCAATCATCAACACGGGCTGTGAAAATATGGCCTCATGAAAGTGTTGCTTCATTTTGGCTGGGTGCCATTACCACGAGATACAAAACCTGGGATTTATCTCATCTGTGCAGTTCCAGCCCTTCCAGCGGCTCCGCATTCAATACGATACTCACCGCTTTTTTGAAGAATATCGGGTGGACAAACATTCTGTGGCTATTCGAAAAAAAACATTTTTAGTAACTGTTGTCGCCTCTGAAGGAAGGTCTGCCGCCATCGCGGCAATAGGAGATCTCAACTCCTGGAAATAGTCCGCCGGGTCGAAGAACTGGTGACTAAAGGATGGACGGGCATTGTAATTTTCGTACATCACCATGGTTTTCACAATGGTATTTATGAGAAGTCTGGTGGAATGAACGTACACCATAATACAGCACGTCCATCGCTATAGACCGTGCTTAATAAAGGTTCAAAACTGACTTTTAGAAGTTGAGTGCACTGCCAAGAGGTGCAATGATTTGTATTTAAAGACTCCAAGCGAGGCATTTGACGAGCATTATGAGGGTTGTCGCAACTAAAATTTATTACAGATTTTTTGCTATCATGCATTCCATCTTATAAACATAAACTATTAAACATTTCTTCATAATTCCATTTTTGACTGATATGTCAAAAAATCTTCAGTGTAGACGTGGTTAACTTCGACCAAGCTACCAAGTCGTAATGCGTCATATTTCCGCAAGGCTAATACTCAAGCTCCGAGATTGCTAATGCGAGTAAAAGAGCATCCTCTTCCGACATCATACAGCCATCTCTCTTCCGTCGTCTAACCCGCGATCTAGCAGTAATTTTCTTGGTCTTTTGGAGCTCCATTGTTGCGATATGACCGGATCCCTTGGCTGTTTTCGTTTCTGAACTACTCGTTGTAGAAGCAGCTGTATCTATTGTTTGCTTGTCGCCTGCGTCATCCTTTGCTGTTTTGGTTGCTACCACCTCACCTGATGCAGTATCATCTCGACTAAATCTCTTTCGTCGTTCGCGTGAAGTTGTTGTCGTCTTTTGTCGCTTCTTGGTTACAACCTTCTCGCTAGAGCTACTGGAAAATACTCGTTTCCCAGTGTTTTCAGATTCTATAGATTCGGATGCTACCCTGCTTGCAGCTACTGAATGTTTAGACTGATTTGATAGCTCTTCATCGCATCCGGAATCCTGGACCACTTTGATTGCAAACTGAATGGCGTCTTTCTTCGACATGTTTTTTTTTACATTAATGCTAGTCCTTCGTTGACGTATAGTTGTAGCAGTTTTCTTGCCTTTTCTGGCGGCAGATACAGCCATCGCATCGGTACCAGTTGTTCGCCTTGCTGGCAATGCATCATCACAAGCCGGATAAGCTGCAGAATCTTTAGATAAGTAGTTTGCTGGTGCATTGTCGGTTGCGGTGTCATCTTTGCGATATTTGCTTCGAATATCACGTCTAGTTGAAGCTGCTTTCTGAGTTTTTTTTCGAACCATTTTAGCCTGGGCTCCACGTTTGCTATTTTGCGTTAAGTGGGTATTCTTGAAGATTTCAGCATAAGCTGGCTGTTTCTCTTCATCCAAATCCGTTGATATTTGTTTGTCTGGAGTAGCAGTAAGATTTTTACGATTGTTACCGCGTGTAACCTGTAAGACAGGAGCCCTCTTTGACCTTGAGACTGCTGCTTTTTTCTTGATGTCATCAATGGCTACCGGAGTGTTGTCCAGATATTTTGAACCCATCGAAAATAACGACGATGGCTCATTCTCATTCATTTCTGAATAGCCCAGCTGTGTTTCTCGACCTGATTCTTTGGTGGGTTGAGATTTACGAGGAGATGTGTTGCCTTGAGCAATGCGTCTTTGCCGAACACCACGTGGCGCTTTCTCTATATTTCTACGCTTTTTCGTGGCGCCTTCAGCTTTACGAGTGCTACGTATGAGACGCTCCGTCAGTTTCTCACCTTCACCTAATGAAAAAGCTACTCGTCGTGTTGGATCGATCACGTTCTGATCTGACTCTGTTTCTTTATTCATGCATTCATCGCTCCTTTCTTGTCCAGCTTGTTGAAAAGTATCAGTATTAGGGTGCGCATTGATTCCGAGCGCTGCCTCCTCGTCAAGACCAGAAGATACATCCGAATTTGCGAGTGCACCAGCCGGCTGTTTTGTCTCAAATATCCCCATATCCTCGACCGTTTTCAACACGTCGCCCTTTCGATTAGTTGTCCGTCTACCTCGTAACATTGTCTCACTACTCTGACACTTCTCCATTGCACCTTCCATCCTGGTCCTTTTATTTCTAGAAGCTGTCTCCTTCTTTGAAGTCATTCTTGCAGGAGCTTCAGTGGTCGCAGTAGCTTGTTGGGTTTCTTCAATCGGTTCCTTGGACATTTGAATAGCTAACAAAAGGGCATCCTCTTCAGATAAATCCAGTTGGTATTCTCTGATTAGCCGATTTTGCTCAGCATCCTCCGGTCCATTCGCCTCTTCGTGTTCTTCTTCAATAATGCCATCTGAAATACTAACACGATCATCGTCTGAATTGTCTTCTATCACAAGCGACATATCTGACTCATCATCATCCTCGTCAATCTCTTCAAAATCCGGCCCGTCTTCATCAATGATATCATTTTTTACTTCCACATCCTCATCGTCCTGAATAAACGACTTCTTTTTCGCGTTAGCATGCCGTCTTGCAATTCCTTTACTAATTCCGTGACTTTTTTTCTTGTACTTACTCATAGCGGTGGGCATCTCTTCAGCTTTCAATAAACTTCCAAGCGTCTTCGTTTTCCTTTCTACATCTTCGACGGTTGCTGGCGCTCCCGATAGATTCTTTTTCGCATTTTTATTTTCAGCAGCGGATATCATTTTTTTCCTAGATTGTCCGGTTCGTCTGATTGTTGGCGTGTAGAAGCTAGAACTTAATGTATCAAGAACCTCCTGTATCTCAAACAAAATAACAAGTCCTGCGTGGCCACCAGCAGCCAACAAACAAGGAACATCACCGGGTGTGACAGAAGATATGCGCAGACGATGGAGGGACGCATCTCGCTCACAAAATTCCCGCGTGTTTTGACTCACCGAATCGGCCGATCCTAGAACTGAAGTTTTGTCGAATGACACTCGTAACGTCTTGAAGGGTTTCTCGATATTAGAATCTTTTTCACCTGAAAGACGACAGATCTCAACGCAATTATGAGGTACTCGATACTGTCTCTTGGCCGGTGCAGCTCGAATGCTTCCAGATGTACAAGCAGAAATAAGCAGCGGGGTCGCATTACGTCGCGCAAATTGCAGATCCCACACGGGTGAGTCAATTTGTGGATGGAAGTGCAGCTTTTGGTAGCTACCGCTCTGCAAAAGGAAAATATTTAGGCTTTATTCGTTCCACAACATATACTGAACATCGTACCAGGATATCATACGCATAGACGGAACCTTGATCACCAGAGATTTGAATAGACGTCTGATCCATCCACTGAAGAGCAAGTCCCCACGTTGAGCGTATTCGATGTGAGCGCAAACACACCCGAGGCTCACGAACATCCCATACTTTAAAAACCGAGTCCTGTCGCAATGAAAGCGCATAAGTGCTTATTACTATTGTGAAACAACAGCAACAAAATTACATACATTTCCTGTCGTTGCAAACAGATGTTCATCAAAAGGAGACCATGAGACAGCACGAATTGCTACCCAGCCACAGCCCCAATCAAAAGCTTCCTGCTTTCCGATCGTATCGGCTAACGAACACAATTGATAATGAGTCTACAAAATTCGTCTGATGCAGCCAGCATTCTCACCATCTTGAAATCGACGTAGTGGTTCTATAGGTTCACCTTTCAAACTATCATCGCTAGAGCTGTCACTCGCAATGACTGCCGATTTTATATTCCATAAAGATACAGATCCTAAATGAGAACAACAACACATCAGTCTCTTTCGATCTTCACTGTAAGCAATAAAAATGTACCATCAGATCCCCCAGTTAAAAGCATCTGCCAAGAATGTGGGGACCACTGCACGCTCAGCTGCATAATCCGCGGCAAAGATGCAACTACAATCGGATGACATCTGTCAACCAGCCGTTCCTTTTCGACAATGTGCTCTCTCGTGAGTTGTTCGTTAGAAATCACTGGAATTTTATACACTCTCATACTTCCGTCACTAAAACACACCGCTAGTATTCCCAAAATATTTTCCAGGCAATGGCTTTTCGGAAATTTCTTCACCAATGGGCACCACTGCAGATCCCAAGCTACTCCACTATCATGATCAATTGCATACACCAATCTCGGTTTTGCAATCTTTAAAGACTTTTTGCTTGTCGATGAAGTCGAGGGACGTTGCACTGGTACAGCCCAAATCTGAATCAAATTTCGTCCGCTTTCAGGTGCATCATAGTAATGATCAGGGGGCGTTGATTTGACCACTTTTCCATCTTCCACCACGCAAGGTGGATGTGTCGCAAGTGCCAGATATCTCCAGTCTGAGATCAAGTTTGTTTCGAGCTCTGCAGTTTTATTAGCGACAGTGCTAGCTGGAATGTCGGTTTTGTTGTTCTCCTTACCCTTCACAGCCGCATTTTGGTCTATTTCATGAATACGTTGCGGCCTCTTCTGGTTTTTTCTTATTAAATTGTTAGCTGTAGCTGTTGCGTTGGCTGCTGGCTTAGATGGCAGCCAGTCCATGGCCCACACAGGCCCCCCAACGTTCAGAGCCATCTGCTCACCGTTATTCAACTCTTCACATGTAAATGGAGCGATTATTGTGACATTTGACATTTCGTCATTCTGTTCTGTTGCAGATTGAGTGTCTTGGAGAGGCATAGAATTTTCTGTAAGCTGCTGAGTGACTGAAGTGCCGATCGTCGAGTTCTCTGTGTGATCGATACTGGAAATACATGAATTTTGAGTCGATTGAAACGGCACTGCCTCGCCATTACATGAATCTGCTCGAATTGACTTGGTTTGATCCACTTGCAATTGGATTGGCTGTAGATATGCGCCGAAAGACACTGCGTCTCGCCACGCGCTGAGCTCCATCATCTTCTCGCTATCACCTGACATCTGTATGGTGTGGCCAACATCATGAAAACATTAGTGAGCTATGTACAATTTTAGAAAAATGGAATGCAAAATCACGAAATGAACAGTAAGATTGCCCGGGACAGGATTAGTTATAGGTGCAATAGGCAAAAATGAAGTTTTGGCTCTAAAGTTTGCGTTGGTCAACGTGCAGGGGTCGCATTTAATGGCCATCAGAAGGAGGCGAAACCCAGATCCTCTTGAATATTTAAATCGTATATTCTGACATGAAGTACGGCAAAAATATTTTCATTTCACTCAAAATGCGCAAATGAAAAGGCTACTAGATCCTTGATTGTGAACGTTAGCGAGCAAATCTGCCTCGGGACCCTACCAAGCTTCTACCGCTAGTTGTTTCCGGCGCGATAGCACTATTAGCGGCCCAAAGTATAGAAGCGAAAACCAGAATTTTTCATGAATGTAACGGGGTTACATGTACCCTGGTATGTAGGGGTGGGTCACATGAGATGCTGTGACCACACAACGGTGTGGCTGCCACGACCGCCAGTAGTTATGCGTATCAATTAGGTTTTACCATATGATTAGGAAAACCAAGAGATTTGGATACAGGCGGCTTTGCCACAAATAAAACATTTGAATACAGTTTCAATTTTGAACGGAAGAATGCTTTTGCCTTTGATTAAGGTTTTGAGTACTCTTGGAGGTAGCGCATTACGATCCGCTATACTCATACTGGTTCTAGTATAGAGCGTAAAGTCGGTGGCCTTAGTAAACTTCCTTTACGCAAAGAGCTACGGCAGCCCCGCTGCATTTGGTAGCACTCGTAGTTAATCTACGCCTGACTCGTTACGACCGATCTTCTGTGAGGATGGAGCAATTCTCCAATTTGCTCTAGGGCATGCAGGACGGGCTCAAAAAGCTTATTTTTCTGCTTGGCCCTGAGACCGTGCAACACCTTGCAGCGCAAGCACCTGAATTGATAAGCGTGCGTCTAGAGGCGTTTTCAAGTTATGAAAATGCTCTGATAGAGCACTTACAGCAGATAATGTCTGAATAGAGTGCATCCATGACGCCACCGTAGCAACGGATGACTTTTCCCGACCCAGGTGAGCATTTAGAACTTCGAGGGTAAGGATGGAGAGAATCTCCTGCTTTGGTGAGAGAGTCCGAGATGGCTATGGCATCCGCCATACTCCAAAATGAGCAACAGCCCGTTGTGCTAGCTATCTTCAAGCTCGGTTATCGAGCGCGAGAAATGGCACTGACGTGCGGTAGTTCGGTGGAAGCGGCGATTCCCTACTGGGTAGAGCTAAAGTTGCGGCAGTTACGAGTGTTCTTGCCGCCTAACCAGGCGTATCGCTTGTGGTCGCGTTTCTTTGCCGACCGACAGGACAAGAAGGAATTGGCGAACTTATTCCAAGCGTTGTGTACTCTCATTGCCGGGATGGTAGTCGATCTTCTACCTGAGGCGGTCACAGTGACCGTCTTTTTGAAGGGCCTCTGCACTGGCGTTTCCAGAATGGAAATCGTTCGAGTACATCTGTCTTCTTTTGAAAAGCGGTGAATGTGGCATTAAATACCAAATATAACTTTAGGACGGCACGACTTGGTTGGAATGCACACACTCAGAGCTCGTCGAGCGGACCTGATCCTATGGATATCAGCTATGCTGAGAAAAAGAGGGAAGATCTTTTAACTGCTGGGCAGCATTTAACCACCCGATGGTGTTTTGTCTGTGGATACATTTGTCACCTTCGGACTGGTTGTCCCCCGCGCAATGCAAGTCAAGGTTCATCGAACTGACGTCCCGCTTCTAACTAGTCTGGTTTGTCGCGGGGAGACCACAACACCCAGTGGCGTGGGGCGCCGTTCTGGGGAAGAATTGAGTTCTGTTTAGCCTCAAAGGGGTAGACGGGAGCAGGGCCCAGCTCCGAAGAGCTCCATGCTCTTTAACACGGAACATGTATGCAACTGGTCATAAAAGCGACCGTGAAGGACTTTGAAAAGCCATATTAGATCATTATCGATTCCGGGCAAATTTGTTCGACGTTCCACAATAGAAAAAAAATCAACTGTATGCTGAGACGCTGAAAGCGCGGTCGAGAGACACCATCCCTGTTCGCTTAGCGACGGGGACTTGTGTCACGGTTTCGAGAGTCCCAGTGGACCTCGGGGTCAAGTTTCTTGACTTCAGTAGCATGAAACGTATCTTGGTCTTAGACTTGGGTTTACGGTATGACCTTATCCTTGGTATGGCGTTGTTGAAACAACATAAATCATGGAAAAAATAGAAGATTGACCACCTTGGGCGCTACGCGCACGTCCCCTGGTGGAGTTTTGGTGATTCATGAACTCACCTCTGCTAGAGAGCAGAAGCGCTATTGGCGCGGGCGTTGGACCGGGACGATCAATGTACTAGATATCGGAGTATCCGAGTTGTCAAAGGTGTATCGGACATGAGTCCTGCGCGTGGCCCGCAGGCTAAACGTGGAGTGCCACGTGACTCACTGAGCGCTGCTCAAGTACTAAAGCAGCTGCTGCATGCCAAGATTGGCATGGTCTGCCAAGGGCCAAGGCATCAAGGGCGAGGCCCATGTAATGCACGTGGAGTGGCACGTAAAACACTGAGAAATGCTCACGTTACGAAGCAGTTGCTGCGTGCCAAGAATGGCATTGTCGGACGAGGTCCGAGGCATCCTGGGCAAGGCCCTTCTGATGCGCGTGGAGTGGTACGTCATCCACTTAACAAGGCTGGGGAAGTTGCAGCTCTTCGTCGAATATTGTGAATATTATTATGGCTCCGATGGAGCAGGGAGCGGGACACTGGTCGACGCCGAGTACGTGTTCCCACTGGTCTCGATGAGACATGAAACCTTTATAAGGAGGAGACGGTGAAGCCGTACGATATCTGCAGGGCGTCAACCCTGACCCTGGTTGTATCTGCCGTAGACGATAGCGCACAGCTAAATGACCTTGTCAACGATATAACGGGAGAGAAAGACGGCGACATCACTCTCGAAGCTATTCCCGCGCCGGATGCTCTTCTTGAGCTGGACGAGATGTCCTTCAAAGAGTTTAGCAGTGCCTTGAAGGCAGGCAATATAGCCGAGGAGGTCATTACAAGACCGAACGAGGAAGTTAAATCGTCGTCGCTTCCGGATGAAGATGTCCAGGAGGACACCTAGAGGGACATAGATGCCAGAAGTTGATTGTCGATCCTGAATAATCCCTCGGATCCGCGCTATCCTTTTGTAAATGAATTTCAAGACGTCGTTTATAAAGACCCGCCATCGATCATACTTACGGACCGAGGTAAGCGTCATGAGATTGACCTGGTTCCGGGAGCCAAAAAATGCATAAAATGCATAACACGCCAATGGCCCCTGCCCAAGGAGCAAAGGTGTCAATGACGTCATTGACGTCATTGACACCTTGTCCGTACGGAGCACGACGCTTGAATGGTGCGTGAGAGTTATCTCGCCATTCGACACCGACATTTTGTGTCCGGAAGCCGAATGGCAAGTGGCGTATCGTTCACGCTTTTAATAAGCTAAACGCTGCCATCATTCCGGTACAAGCGCCAATTCCCGGAAAGGAGACTCTCCAAAACAATACAGTTTGCTGTACGAAGTACAGTGCATTCGACTTTGTCGATAATTATTACCAATTGCTCATGAGAGTGAGTGATATTCCGCTGACAGCGGTGAGAAGTCTGAGCGGGATGCTCTGGGAGTGACTGGTGATACCCCAAGGGCTGTCAAATACACCAGCAATCTTGTGACGCAATTGCTTAGGCCCCATCGAGCATATGCACAGACATACTTGACGACATATTCGTTCACCGTCGTGGGGGTCACGGGAGGACAGATGAGGAAAACCACATCGTCCATTTTGGAGCGGTGCTCGAGTGCATGCGCATGCAAATAGCGCATCATCGGCGCTGATAAAGTTTCTTATCCAGGGTGCTTCATCGGAAATCAAGGCCTTCGAGCGAATCCCGCTAAGGTCAAGGCCATTTTAGACTTGTCGGTTCCAAAAAAACCAAAGGACTTTGACAAATGGCTTGGCCTCACCTACTACTTGCACAAGTATATCGCAAATCATGCGGAAATGCACTGCCCTTGTCTAATCTCCTCAGGAAGGATACAGAATGGTGTTGGGACACTCAGTATCGGGAGGCTTTTGACAGGGTCAAAGAAAGCCTTCTTCATGCATCAATACTGGCGTCGCCATACACCGATCGTTCTTTTAGTGTCGTCTGTGATGCTTCGGACTTTGACATCGGCTGCGCATTGCTGCATGCAGAAGCCGAGGGGCGGGTAATTGCGTTCAGATCTCGCCAGCTCAAGGCTGTGGAGGGATCACGACAAGGAACTACCTGCGATGAAGTATGCACTTGTCAAGTTCAGGGTGATGGTGCACATCATTTGTTCAATGCTGTTGTGGTCCATATAGTCAACTATTTTGTTCAACTCTACGTCAGAAGACCCCAGAAACAGTCTTCTTGTCTCCATGGTTTCGTTTCTTGTTCATGGGGCCCCTTTATAAAGCTGTACGCAATTCTTCCGCCAGGTTTAGCTTGAAGACCACAATGCATCAGCGCTAATACTTGTATTTGCATAGACACACTCAGGAGACTGTAATTTATGGTCACTTGTTTTGTCACATGATGAGACCACAGCTCACTTCAAGACACTCAGCAACTCAGCAGCAGTTTTTATATCATCAAAGAAGCGCGTCGTACTTAATTGCACGATGCGCTCACATTTATCAACCTCGGCTTTACAAAGGCTGCGACGTATTTTTGACAGCCAGAAAATGCCTGGACTGTCAGCCCCACTTTAATGTAGAGTGTCGCATCCTCCAAGACTGGTGCTTTGATCTCCACGTAGTAATATGTACCCAAATCTAACCCGTTATGCCACTATCCTCTACTGGACTCTAAATTTCTGCGAGGGGTTCGCTAACGTGACCTTCCGAAGGCCGAAAATTGGTATTGCAATTCTTATTCATTGCAACACCTACAGCAAACTCGAAAGAGGTCGGCTTGATAGAGTAGTTTAATCTCATGAACACAGGTGTTAATTTGCACAATCCTTGACGAGTTTACACAAATAGATCTCATATGGTACGCCTGGATTGGCGAGGCAAACATCTGCGTCATATGTCGTTTCAAAACTATTCATTTTGTTAACCAAAAATTGCTTTTTTTACTGGAGTATTGCTCGTAAATCGGTTTTTCTGCGCGTTGCGCCTTGGAGACCACGAGCGTAACGCGATGGTCAATTTCATAACCATCTCTACCACTCTGACCCAGCGTAATTTTCCCCGGACCTAAGACCTATTCTTGATGGGCAGCACGCTTAACACATTATGGTGGGGGTCCACCGACGGGTGTGATGTCCACCATCGCATTCTCATTTAAGCAAATCTGCTTCCGACCTACAGCCTGCCAATTGGATCATATACTCGCGACCAACCAAAGGCGTGTGCATAGTAAGCGTGTTTAATTGCTCTAAGGGAAATATTTCAACAACTCATGTTCTATTACTACTGGAGACACACTCAATCGTACAAGTGCAATCAAGTTCGCCAAAGTTGTTGTGCACCTTGCACAGAGGAAGTATTGACTTAAAATTTGCATAAATAAATACAGAGGATGTACGCTCACCCAGGAGCAAAATTGTCAATTTAACGTTGCATCAACATCTCGAGATTGACATATTTATTCGAGCATATATCGTTTCAAGCTTCTCTTGTTTCACTGCTAGGACAGTTCTAGTTCTGTTCCACGCTTCTACAGTTTATCACATGAATAATAAAAGCGCAGTAAGCTTCATATCTGATTAGCAAATGCTACCCATGACAATAATAGTGTCTCGATTGCGTTTATGTCTCGTGAGAATTTCAATGTGTTATCCTTTATTAACGCTTTCTACTATGCATTTCTCCGTAAATACCAATAAGATGAATAAATCCCTACACACTTCTAAATATCGCTAGCTAGATCAGCCAACGTAAATTTTCTGACATCACTCACATGTTCTCAATACTAGGCAGCAAAAGGATTTAGCGGTGTGACAAACTCCTCATCATCGCTGCCAAATGAAAGCACGCCATACTTGTTTTTGCCGCCAATAGCAGCATCGGTAGTACTGCCCTTCAAAGTTGGGGGAGATTGAAAGCTGGACGGTGCGGCAAACGGTTTGGAGGTGGTGCCACTAGCAAAAAGTGAGAACACGCCACTTAGCAGTCCCACACCTTCGTCAGGTGGCCGATGTGCAGCCAGCATCTTTTGTTGCTCCTGCGGGCTAAAATTTAATAGCGTGGAAATGACAGGTACCAGCTGCTCCTTCTCGCTCGTTACTTGACTCTCGATGTATTTCATCATCACATTCTTTAGATACTGTGCAGAACAGAAATTCATTGTGAGTCGATCATTCAAAACATGAGAGATACTCTAAACACCATGATTCACCTCGGTATTAATCGCCTGAAGAGAATGCTCGCCGTTTTGCTGCTGTGTGGTAACTTCTTTGAGCTGGGTAAATGTGTCTTCGTACTGATATGAGAAAAGAAACAGTCAGTGTATGAGCACATCATGCAATATTATCACCAGAAGCACACCTTTTTTCGGTAAAAATGTGATGTGGACTCGAGTTCCTCGAGCTGAGCTTGAAGTCTTTTGACATCATTCTCTTTTGCATGAGATTTCGTCTGCTGCTCAACAACATTAGATAATGTCGTCTTGCAGGCATGTGGAACCGGGCATGCGTCGACGACGGCAGCAGCAATACGATCGTGTTGCTCGTCAATTGTGGTCTGGTACAAAACACTACCGTTTCCATCATCATCGAATGAGCGCGATGATGAAGCCGTCGAGCGTCGATCCTTCTCGACCGGTGAGAAAGGTGGCGAAAACAAAGGAGGTCTAGCCTCATCCGTAGCCAAAGAAGCAGCAGCAAGTGCTGCTTCTAATTGCCTGGACAGTTCGCTAATTTCGACCTTGAATTTTGTGGCTTGCTCTGTCGATGTTCGAACTTCTTCCTTAAGCTGGATAACCTCGTGTTTTAAAGCTTTATTTTGCTCGGCAAGTTGTTGAATACTAGTTTTATCTTTTTCCAAAGCCTGTTCCAATCGCGACACTTCCGTTCTTAAGCTGTCGATCTCAGACCGCAAAGCTGCTTCCATGTCATTTTGTTCGTTCTTTAGCGCTATGCGTATGCTCTGTGCGTGTGCATCTTCAGTGTTCTTTGCTGCCTCTAAATGTTGCCGCACCTCCTGCAATTCTATGTCTAGCCCACTTATTCTGCCTCTTGCCATCACAAGTTCTTGCTCCAATTTGATCGCGTTCTGTGCGACTTTTTCTAAATTAAATTTGTTTTCAATTGAAGCTTTTTTTAGTGCACTGTGCGCCCGCTTCTTGTACGTTTCAAGAGCAGTCCGAGCAGCGTTAGCTCCTTCCGTTACAACCTCTAGTTGCAACTTATGCTCGGTCAACTGATCCTCCAGCTGCGAGATAATTTCTCGCTGCAGCTTGGTATCAACGTCTGTGTCCGATCGAAGCTTCGAAATCGTCTGATGCGCCGTGGATAGCTGTGCTTCAAGCTCCGCCCACTTGGCTTCATGTATACGATCCGTTTTCTCGAGAAAGCTTTTAGCTTTAAGGTTTTCCAGCTCAACGTATTGAGCACGGTCGGTCGCAATTCGAATCTCCGATTCTTTCTGCCTGACAATTTCACTTAGCGTTTTAACTTCCATTTCCAGGTTGGATATTTTCAATTGTGCAGATTTTTCTCGCGCAACAGCATCTACTTCTAGAGTTTCATTTTTTTCTTGCAATGCTTCGTATTGTCTTTTTATATATTGGAATTGTTCTTCGTACGCCACAACACGCTCGTTCAAGGTCAATATTTGGTCATTAGTGTGGCATATTTCGTCTTCGAGTGCCCTCACCCGTTCGCGAGATGATTCTATATCACTTTTTGACGTCTTCAGCTCCGTCAAATTGGCAACATGCTGAGCATTTAAATTATCATACAAAGCTCTATGAGCACTGTTTGCTGAGGTCACTTCGTTGTAGCGTCCTTTCAATCGCTTGTACCCCACCATCATTTCGCCGAGCTTTGACTTGAGCGTCGAAATTACATCATCCTTCTTTAAGAGATTGATAGCGTAGGTTTTGTCAGCATTATCTAACTGATCGCGAAGCGAAGCTACTTCAGCTAGAGCGGAGCGAGACGACTCAGACAGTGACGCTACTTGATCCTCTAAGGCCTTCGTATTTTTTGCTAAGTCGCTATCAATGCTTCTCACGTGATTGACAGATTGCAAATCGGCCAAGCAGATCTGCCTTTCCGGTTTCACTACCTGCTGAGCTGGATTGGAAGGCAGTCGTGCCTGAGAGCACAGCTTTGATTCACGATTTAGCAAACCAAATTCGTTCGGCTGGATATTATTTACCGAAATTGCATTATCACTCGTCAAATCCATCTCGAGAAAATGGATGCGAGTCTGCATGGATAACATTTTTGTGCTTTGAGCATTGCACTGAGACTCCATTTCGCTCAAGGTCA